AAGTAATCAGCCGTGTTTTTATTAACGCAACTGCACAGTATACTGTAAGTGCACTGGAGTTCAGAGATCTCCTGCGATTCTTCAGAAAGTGACCAGGTGAAATATGCAAGACTGGTCAGGTTCTAGCATACCGGTCAGAGAATCTGGCAGACATAACTTTGTCTCTATATGTGCTTTTGCAAAATCTGTCCATCTTTACAGAACATCTACTGGATTATCAGAAAGCTGCTTTTTTTTGGGGAGTGAGTCTCTACACCTCAGACATCATCCCAGAATCATATGGCACACAGTGGGGCTACACTCTGAATGGGGCACTAGCCCGTTGCAGCACACAAACACCACATTTGGAGACATTAGTTCACCTGGACAGCTTGTGTTTGGAAGGTGGGAGCAACCCGTAGCACCTGAGGAAAACCCATGTGGACAAAGGGCAAACATGCAAACTCCACACAGAAGGCACCAAGCTTCAGAACGGATGTCATTCCAGCCCAAAACACACCCTGCCTTGTGCTATTCGGTGGGCTTCACGCAAACAGTAGAAGGGGGTATCTGCATTTATTCCATGAACCGTACACACAGAGGACTGCTGCCAAAGGACTCATTCCAATGCACAAGACTGAAACGAAAGCCTCACAATAGCTGTAAAATTGTACTGCAGCTTTCCGCACATAATTATGGCTGCTATTGTCGATGAGCACAAAGGGGCATTGTTCACTCTGTAGCAGGCAGGAGAGTGTCGTAGATGCGTGCCTTTTTAATCTGCAAACAATAATTGTCACTGATAGCTGCAATAAGAGAGGACCAGCATTTAGATGTGTGTGCAATTAGTCTGAGTGGCAGTTTGCTCGATGGCTTTCCTGACTCTTGTCGCAGCCCTCCTCCATCGTGGAGAGAGGCGACGCAGAAGCAAAAAGCACTCCATTGAGATAATATTGTTTTTAAGTAAGCGAACACAGAGCTTTATATCAAACGTTTGCCCTGGTTTCGTCTGCACAAGAATGTGAGATAAATGTTCCATGTTGGAGGGTTTTGCATGGAGAGCTTATAAGTGATTTAGTCTAGTCATGTCAGTGTATGAGGGCAGCATGGTGGCCCAGGGGTTAGCATTTCTGCCTCGTGGCGCTGGGGCCCTGGGTTTAATTCTGGACCTGGTGCTCTCTGCTTGGAGTTTGTATGTTCTCCCTGTGTTTGCTCTGATTTTCTCTTACAGTCCCAAGACGTACTGGATGGTTAAATGACTTCTGGGAGAAGTGGCCATGGTGTGAGTGTAGTGTGTGTCTGCCCCGTGATGGGCTGGTGTCCAGTCCAGGGTGTTAACTGTCCTGCACTCTGGCTCCTCCACAGCCCTGTATTAGATATTGGATGCCACTGTATGGTAAAAGCTGCTCCCCACAGAGCGATCTGTAACGCAGACGCGTGCAGTGTCTGTAGCTAGTAACCAGGCAGTCTTCAGCCCAGAGTTACCCACTACTCTATGTCGCCACAAGTGTTTGTGCAACCAAGATTAACATGCAATTTATCCTATTTTTACTTCCCTTTTCTCCCCGGTTTTAAATCCCCCCTCCAGTCATGCTGCATGCCACTTGGGACTTGTTTCTGCAGCAGAGTGGGAATCTAGATTGCTTTCCTCAGCTCGCAGCTCGGTGCCCCCAGGCCAGAGCGTTGCCGGCGCTGCCTCTTCCTGGAAAGCACTCCTTTGATTTTCCATCCGCGAGTTGGGAGGCTTGCTGATGCTGCAGATAATTAACTGAAGCTTCCGAGTCAGGAACCATGAGGTTTTCCGTGGATGGAATATCGCGGGATTCATTTTCCCTGCATTTCATTCGCCGCTCCCCTTGTTGGTCATCAAAGACAATCATACGGATAACAATGGTGTTGATTCGTGAATACAAAGCCAGGCTGGTTATTCTGTGATATATCTAGAGAGCAGAAAATGCCTGACGTTACCCAGTCATCACACTTGTGTACCTCTCAGCTGATACAGTGCATTGGAGGATTCCAAATGGCGAACATGTGGCTTTGTTTTGTTGATCAATTTGTTTGTTCATATCTGTTTCTCGTTAATATGCAGTTGTTTTTTGTTTTTTTTGCTGCTTCTACATAGAATTATAAATGCAGTAGATTTTTTTTCCTGCAGTGTAATTCTTGTAATGCTTCCCGACCTGCTGGTTCTGGGTGAGAAAACAAATGCATTTGTCCAGTTTTGGGAATGTTTGGCATTTCAGTTAATAAGAGTAGAAACATTAGTGTAGGATCTGTAACCTTTCCTGGGAAAACAGCAGTCTCTTTGAAACAGAACGAACTGTTTGGTGCTTTTCATAGCCTTTGTAATAGATCAAAATAAATGGCGGACAGAGAGCAGGCAGGCTGTCTCACATAGGATGCAGGACCATCATTTTGCAGCAATCGATCCACTACTGATTTTACACATTACAGGGCACTCTTGATGATAGGACAAGGACTGCTGTCATACTGTACATACCTACTGTATGCAAATGCACTTAAAATAGCATATTTGTCAGTGAATATGTCCTGTTTACTCACTGGCCAAAATACTTTGAGCCCCCACTGGCTCGGATGCAGGCCTCTGCAAGCATCAGAAGCAGTTTGAGGTGGTGTGGCTTTTGCAGTGGCTGCAGCCCAGTTCCATTCTGTAGTTCTAGCAGGAATGCCTCCAGCTGAAGGTGTGACAAGGGTAACAGGTTGGTTATCTGGGGATTGTTCCAGCCAAGGTACTCGTCTGAGCCCTTTACCCAGCTGTGCATTGCTCGTGTATTTGACTGGGAGTCAAGTGAGTGGCTAGCAGCCAGCAGCCTGTAAAACCTGAAAAGGGAACAGAGTGTGTCCACTACAGGTTTGGTGATCACCAGCATGACAGCGCACTCTTCAGAAGTGCATGGTACACATTGGTTATTGTTGCAGTATTTATTACCATGGGGAGCAGTGCTCTCCTGATGTAGGCTGCATCATTGCTGTTACCGTTAATTATTGATGCCTTTCTGTTACGCTTGTGATGGGCATCTGTGCGTCTCTCTCTGGCAGATGTGATGGGGGGGAAGAGAATGTGGATAGTACTCCTCTGGTAGTAATGGCTGTACCCTGGGAATGGGCTGGGGCAAGGGAGGTTTGTCTGCTTTCCTGTCTCAATTTCTGCTTAGATTTGCAGTGCTTTTCTTTGTTACTGCACATTGGTGGAGTATAATGCAGAACCTCAACATTTTATTTTTCTTATTTGCTGCTGAGGTCTGTGACGTAGAGTGATGCTGCGACAATGACTCCAGTGCATCTCTAAACAAGAGCAGACGTGACACTCTGATAAGATGATGGCATCCTTAGGCAACTTGGATCCAGTGCCTTTCTCTTTGGCTCTGCGTCAGAAACCTGGCAAATTCCCCTCTTTTGAAGACCAGCATGCGGTGTACAGCAGTGTGCGCTCCTTCGTATTGAGCACAGCTGGAGAGGGTCCTTCTGTGGTGAGCACATGAATACTACTCGTCTGTGGGATCAAGCAGCTCTTTCATCTTGCAGCCACTCTCACTGCAGAACAAAATGCCTGAGATTTGAATTTTCTTCCCCATAGGTTATGCCTGCTAGTTATTTTTCTCAGCATTGCAGGACAGGTTATGCCTATCTCTGTTAATTTCAAACTATTTTTCAGCTCATACAGTATGTTGCCTTGATATCCTGGATTCTTGCAGGAAATAGCTGAATGAGAGCTTCATTATCAGTTAGCTACTAGCTTCTAAACGTATTAGATGAGGTAAATGACCCCCCTTTTGGTTTTGCAACCTTCCTAATGTTCTAAAATTGGAACTTCAGTGATGACAATGAGCAAAACTGTCTGGGGTACCATTCACAGTGCTGTTGCATTGCTAGGGACTGTCTCTAACCCGGTTAAGTGGTGGCAGGAGTAAGTACATGTGCACACAGAGGGGACTATGTTGGAAAGAATCATGCAGCATACTTGTTGAATAAATTCTAAATGCTCTTTTCTTATTGGCATATCTTTGTACGTTAACCAAGACTCGACCTGTAAGGTTTGCAGTCATAGAGGACTGCAGCCAGGTGACCCTCTAAATCGTAGGGAAAGTGGTCTTCTGTGAATGAAGAAGGGGGTGTCTTCATTGTCCCCGTCTTCCAAAATGTCCGAACCTCTGCCAGTCGTGCATTCCCTCATTAAATGAAGCGCTACAATACTGCTGAATGGAGTAAATAATTATTCTGATAAGTGGCTGTTGTGCTTTATGGTGGATTACGAAACGTACGTCTCTCAATTGTTCAAAATGCTCCTCGGTGTGAAATGACAGGCGCAGGCGATGTGTGGAGAGAGTCGTTTGCTTAAGTAATTTGAGCTCGGGAAAAAAAGACTGACACTCGGAAAAGTGCCGGCACTGGATAATTAGATTTGATCATATCTGGAAAGTAATTCATTCACCGACGCATTTTGATAGAATTTACATTATCACTGTAATTTATTCTTTCATGCCCTTGCATAATCACCAGTTGTGCACTCGGATCACATTACCCATCTGCTGGAGTCTGGGAGTTACGTTTGAGTTAGTGGGCCATTCCCTGGAGATTTCTAAGAAACTGATGAAAATAACATTTCTACAAACAAAAGAGAGCAGCAGAGAAAATTCAGGCAGGAGGCCGAGCGCCGTGAACAGCTGGGCTCAGGCAGCGGAGGGAGGCAGAGCTGTGTTCTCAGACCTGGGGGAGAACCCGAGAAAAAGGGAAAAAAAATAAACCAGTGCGTTTCAAACAGGGCAGTAAAGCTGGGAGGGGGGCAGGCGAACACGCACTGCTGAAAGCGAAAATACAATTCCTCTTCCCAGACACTAGGGCACATGGGGGGATGACTTCTTTGCTGTGAAAGCGGGATTCCCTTTTGTAGCATCACAGCAGAAAACTGAACTAAGACACAAACGGAGGCCTTTCTGCAGCACTGCCGCCAACACCAGACTTGTGCCGTCTGTGGAGGAAACTGTCAAGAGCAAGACTTCAGAGTACTTCAATAAAGAATACTTTATTTCACTTCTTTTTTTACAAATACAGTTTTTTTTTTTATTCAGGAATCGAAGGTTTGTTGTTTTCTTAAAAGAATAACTGTACAGTTTATAAAATTAGTACCACAAATCGACTCTACAAAAGGAGGGTGGAGATAGAAGGGATTTGGAGGTGTGCTGGTAAACAAAATCCTGATGCATTTTTTTTAATATGTCACGCTGGGGAAAAAAATGTTTAATTGCACTTTTTAGTTTATGTACATGTGCTCATATCCAGTGATACGAACTAGTAGGACATAATTTCTTTAAGAACTGAAGTACTACTACAGAGCAGAGGGTTTCAATCTGTGCTACCTGTTTAAAAAATTGCATGCTGGCAGCAGGTGTCCAGAAAAGCTTTCTAAGGAAACAATAGTGCATATCTGAATTTGTATCAGTACAAGGCCTGTGCAGGTATCTGTTCAGACATAAAAAATATACAGCACTTCCAGGGGGAAAGCTGAAATTAAATTAAACTTTCCAGTAATTCCATATTCAAGCCCACATATTTAAATAATAACTGATTCTCAGTTCTTGTTTTTTTTAGCACCAAACGTCATCGCCCCACCTAAGGGTGCTGTTGTACCCCTGAGCAAACTACCACACCCAGATTGCTCCTAATGAATGGGTGCGAATGTGAGTTGCTTTACATACAGTAAGTGGTGGCAAATCGCAGTAATATTAGCAGGAAGTTTGGTACCGAGAGCCTCTTGGCCTTCCTGGTAGCAAGCTGCAAGTCGCACTGAGTTTTAAGTTTTGGAAGTGCTGTTAATGGCGAACGTGCACCTTTTCTGTTGTACCAACTGAACAACATGCATGTTTTCAGCGTCATTACATGAACCCTCGTATTCAACCCCCTATGCTCTCGCCCTTCCCAAACATAAAAAATATTTTTATGCTTTAGCACCACTGTTGAGTTTAACAGTAAGAAAAAAAGCAATGCACAATGAAAAGCGTAAAAAAAAAGCAAGATTAGCATACAGTACGAAGGATCCTTGAGGCAATGTTGTACTGGTGTCAAGCTGCACTTCAACTGAAGTCTGGGACTCCCCAGGCGAGACACTGAAACAGTCAATACTGATCACAGGTTTCAAACTAGCCCAGGTTAGCAGATGTCTCTCACAGGAGAGAATGAACGTGTTGCCTGCTCTCACCATGGGCAACAACACTGTCACGTGGTTGCAAACTGACTGGAAACTGAGTGTTTGCTGGGTCTCACTCCACACCCCAAGACTTTAATTACTCAACGGACTCTTTTTTTGATTGCACATAAGTACCTCTTCTTTTCAGGCCTCATTTGCCTGTTTTTTACAATGATGATACATTTAATGAAGCACATCTTTTCATTGTGTCAGCTGTGGAAGACAGAAAAATATGTGCAGATATCACATAGGATATCTAAGCCAATGAAGCACCCTAAATTGTGAAGCCCCCTCACTTTGAAGGTTGACAAGGTAATGGACAAGGTTGTTTTGCTGTGATACAAAACACCTTTTGACCAATTTTTGAGCATTGTGCCTTTTGTGCAGCACAGGCATCTGTCTGGACAGAGCACAGAGAAACCTGATTGTTTCTGCAAAAAGTAACATATTCCTTTGCTCCATTTAATATGAGGGATATGTTGCTTTTTGCTGCTGTGTGAAGTTTGTCTTGCCTGTAAAAATGAAAAAGAACTCCAGTCGCTGTGCTATATATAATTGCTGTAATTATCGGTTTTAATGGGGGGGGATTTCAGAATCTTCTTTGAGGGGTTTAAAAATAGCCAAGCAAATTGTCTCTGTGAGCAGATGTAAAGTAACACGAGGAACAAGAACTAGGCTGTCGATTATCCCGTAATAAAACGTGCATGTGCAGTGGTGCCCCGCCTGTGCAGGGCGCTGTCCAGTCACCTTGCTGCCCACAAGATCAAAGTCGCTTGAATCCCTGCTAGACGTGCAGTGGTCATGTCCCAGTGATCTCACATCTGTGGGCCGACAATTTCTTTCCTTAGTTTATAAAAAATGTAAAAAAACATACCACAAACCCACCACAGAATAAGAACAACAAAAAGATATATAAATATTGCTTGTGGCAATCACAAATGTCTTTTCTTTTTTTAACAAAAAAAAATCAGTTTATCCCTTTCTCTTCCTTAGCCGTTGAAGCAAACAGGACCGAGCTGGAACCCGAACTTCTGGTTGTTGTTGCCAAAGTCCATAACGGTGACATCTTTGATGGGAAGGGGGTCCGGTCTCAAAGAGTTGATTTTCAACACTGAGTGTTCGTAACCTTTCCGGGACTGCAAAGTAAGTAAATGGGAAAAGGGTTTTTCACTGGTTTGTCTCAATAGTTATATTAACACAAGCGCACTGCTGTGAGCAATGGGGAGCTTCCAAGCTGGTTTTCACAAATAGAAACAACTTGTACAGTCAATTAAAGACTGAGTTTCAGGTGAGATAACAAGTAAGGTGCAAGCCTTGGGCTCCTGAGGAAACGTGTTTGCCCTGAGTGCAGGTAGGGAGTGAAGTCACACACTGAAGATGTGGTTTTGTGTCACATCCTCTAGGCTTTCTTGGCAACCCCTGTGACTTCCCAGCTCCCTGCACGGCAGACTCATGGAGCCCTTCATGAGGGACAGAGGACCCGTCTGCTCTTTCTCATGGGGTGGGTTGTCACTGTGACCTAAGATGTTAAGACGATTGATGATTCTAAATGTAAAAAAGCAGGACCACCTCAAGTGGTGCACTTAGTTAGAAAAGAGATTTAAGCAAACTCTGTATGTGCATACGGACAAATGCTTTGCCACTGGATTGTTCTGCTACGCTGCATTTACTTCAACTTGATCGAGACCGTAACAATCAAAAATCTTTCCGAAATGCAGTGAAGGCACATGTGCGTACCTGACAGCCGTCGTACACCGCCTCAAAGACAAGGGGCGTCTTTGTATAGGACAGCTCCTCGTCGTTGATGCCTTTGAAACGCAGCGCCCTGCTGTGGCTGCTGGAGGTAGTGTCGTACCAGCCGGCGGAGTTCTGGCATTGGTAGGTGAAGGTCTGGTGAGCTGTGGCGCTGAGGAGCTTCAGGAAAGTCAGCTGGACCACGTGCACCGCGTTCCCATCTGCATCTATGTAGGAGAACTGCACAGGGACACAAGACAAATTCATTTCTAGGCACAGTGTTTCAGTTGCACTTCATGTATTTTTTTTAGATAGGGACATTTTTGTCATTTTAGAAAGTGCTTTGCATGCCCTGCTTTTCAGAGCACTGTATACAAAGCATGTGAGGAAAGTGGACCAAAAAGTGCTCACAAACTGAGCAAAGTGCACAGATTTACACACTATAAAAAAATGGGTTCAGTTAACAGAATCTAGAGTTTCAGGCCTGGTTTTATTTACTTTACAGACAAGACGTCTGAGAAAGTGCTTTGTGAAAGTGTGTTATTTTAATAACAGAACTAGATCCCCCTAGTTTTTTGAATAAAGGACGGTTGGAACTGTTTGGCTCAGATCTGTCATTAAGCTGCTATGATGCTTACCTGGCAATTTATTAACATGAGAATATAGCCCACACTTGCTTTGCTTTAAAATTAGTTGCAGAAATAACCAATAGGGGAATCAATTACAGACAAAGAAATGTCTGTCGAGCATAGGATTATGCCAGGGACACTACTGTAATGGTTTCGGGCTCTGGCCTCCTGACTGAAGGGTCGGAAGGGAGTGAAGGCGATATACAGCGCAGTGCTTTACCCAGATTGCCTCAGCAAACCTGGCTCCATAAACCGATTTTGCATGTTAATCAAGATAATCGTAACCTGTCAATCTGATGGATGAAACGCCAGATGGAATTTGTCAGTGTTCAATCCATCCGTATGAAAGGACTGTACCTCTTTTCCTTTCCTGAACTCGCTGAACCAACTCCCAGGTGTTTCCCGATTCCATGCTGCCAGCTTTACCTGGTCAGAGGAATACGTGTCAGTTTGTGCTAAAATGAACACTGAACAGCAGACATCAGCGTCAGGTGTCCTGTGAATCGATGTAGCTGTTTACTCACCGATTCCACCCTCTTATCAGGGAACAGGCAGGTCTCCCCCTGAGCAGTAAAGTTACAGAAAACCTTGAAGGAGTCACGGTGGCACCCCTGGTTAGGGTCGATCCAGTACTCCCCTGCGGGAGGAGAAAGATACACAAGCAATAAGAACATCAGGGTATCAGCTTCAGCAATATGTTTGGACTCCTACCGCCTTTTGTCTAAAAACATTGCCCCCTGTTCACAGGCTTAAACACTTCCCCGTATTTCTCGTGGGACAGAGAAGGCAAATTTCAGACTCTTACAATCCTCCGCTTAAGAAAGTACAACACATTTTTGTTTTTAAATTTAATTTATACTTAGATCACTGGTAGTGCTCTTTTCAGTAAACTGTGCACCACATCCCTCCACAGGTCAGAACAACTTTTTCCCTTCTAAATAAAGTGTGTTTGAGTTTAGGCCTGAAATCTTAAATAAGAAGAGGTGGACCCTGAGCAGCCAGGCTCTGGGAAATTTTAATGAACAGCAGAAAGAGACGTTGGATTTAGAGTAAAGAAGTAGCTGACCATCCTTGTAATCTGGGTGGCACATCTGCAGCTCCTTGCAGGTGCGTCCTGGGCTCTCTTGGGTCCCCAGAGGCTTCCTCATGTGCTCCACATCAGCCTTCATGGAGTTCAGGGAGGCGAAGACCTCCTCCATGCCATCGATGAAGTCGCTTCCCTCATCTGCCAGCTGGTCACCCTGCACTGTGTCCTCGGTGTGCCGCCGCCTTTTCTTCCTGCCCTGCACCGGCAGAGGCTCAATCATCTGGGCCGGAGGTCCCTGCAGCAAAGACGTCCCACTGATGATCACGTCCAACATCATAGGCATCCCCTCAATAGGGCTAATAGAGAGCCAAAGCCCTGCACCTCTCATAGGGAACTCAGACCCCTCAATGATGAGACCTATCAAGACAACTTAGTCTTTAAGACCTCATATAGAATGAAAACCAGACAACCCTCTGAATTCCACGGATAAGTAGTGAAGATCACCTTTTAATTCATCATCTTCTGTAAAAATTTGGAAAAGTCAACCAGTTTAACTGTGAGATTAGTTCAACCAGCCGTAACACCTTAAAATTACAAGCAGTTTCCTAAAAAGTCCTACTGTCTTTTCCTCATGTTTCAACAAAGTTGAATCATTTGCTGGAAAAAATACCTACAGACCATGCAGGTTTGACATCTTTTTTTTTTTTAATAATATCCTACATTTTATAATTCTTCCCTTTCACTCTGCTCTCTCTTTCCTCATCTCTGTTCTCCTTTCCCTTTTTCTCCCTCTGATGTTTCATTCTGATTTTATAGAAGGCCAATTAAATCACTTCCTATCTCTTTCTGAATGATAGGGAAATTAGTTTGGATCTACCCTTCACACTCACCGGGGGTCCAGGGGGGCCTGCAGGGCCTGTGTCTCCTCGAGGGCCAGTTGGTCCCTGAAAGATAATCGCAGAACACCTGAGTGTCGTCTTCAGAGAACAAAAGAAGACTTTCTTCTACTTCCTAGCTAGTACCTCAAAATTCAAAAGCAAAGATAGAAGACAGCTCTGAACAGCGCCAGTTTTGCCTCAGTGAAAAAGATCATTCAACAAAGAAAAACTGTAGGGAACCTATTTTGCCGAGGTGTCAACAGAATGGAATATGACTGGATATTGTACGTAGTTATTGAGCTTTCTAGAGGTGTTATCCTGTTTGAAAAGCAGAGATTACATACCGCGTTTCCTTTGGAGCCCTTCTGCCCAAGAGGACCCTGACCGAGAGAGAAAGGAAGGTTATGCCATGAGCAAGGGATTCAGGTTCGAGAGAAAGGGCGACTGTTCCATTAAACATGTAACTGTAAACAAAGCACAACAACTGTGTTGGGGGGAGTCAATCGAGGTTGGACCAGGTAGGAGAGGTGTGAAATGAATGTCTGGGTAAACGTTGTAGGTTTCTACGTGTGTAAAACATAGCCGCTTTGATGCAAGACAAAGTTTTGAGAAATCAAAGTATTATCGTATTGTACGGGAATGAAATGAGCCTAAACATGTCTCCTTGTAGTATATATTGTTGACTTTATAGCATCAAGGCTGTAATAGAACAATACCATTTATTTTATTACTTTTAAATAATATGCCAAATGGATCATTTGCTTCTACAAACTTTTTGGGGGGGGGCTTACAAGCTTTATTCAGTCTGACTCAAAAAGGTGACAAGAAGAAAATTACAATTTGTATTGACTTCAGTTTAAAAAACATTATGTCATTTTAATCACTACAGGTATTTTACAACATTCCAAAATGACAGCAGAGTTCAGTGGGTTTCTGAAATGCAGAAGCCTGGAAAGGTTGGAGCTCCTTTAATTCTCACATGTAAGGGGAATGAGATACTTACAGGCAGGCCTGTGGAGCCAGGGGGACCAGTGGGGCCAGGAGGACCAACAACACCCTGCAACACAGACAAGCCAGTGACAGTGTCACCCCATGATGTCAGTTTAACCTCATGCTTACACATGATATCTTCTATAGATGTGCTTCTCACCCCTGCTCCTACAAAACCCCAGCATTACAACAGAGCTCTTCACCACTGAGGCTAATCGATTTCTACTTGGTTATTCAACTAGCAGCCCATCTCCGGGGTTTACACCTTCTACCACTGTGTGGCCTTCCACTAACTTGACCCCTGCTGAACACAGGATTGCTTTTTTCCAGATGTTTGTTTTTGGTAAACTGTCATCCCCCTCTGTGTCTGGACACCATTATCTATCGCCTGTTAAAGAGCTGCTCACACAGATACAAGGCAGCAACCACTTAAGAAGTGAGATGAGAAGAGACAGCCCTGGTTTTTGTTTTCTGTATTTTTCAGCTAAATGCCCGCTGCAGTGTATTTCTGAAACTTTACACTGAGTGCAGAAATGGCTTATTAACATCTAACTAAGCAACAGGTTAGCGTTTACTCAAGAAATAAGACCTTTTCACCACACTGCAGTTTCATGTTTCTGGAGTTATAAAACTGGTCTGCAATTCAGAGGAGTTACAGGGAAGTAGATACCTGCTAGCTCTTCTTGGCACTTGTTTTCCTGTGGTCCCTGTGCTGTGGTTCAGCACGGTGGTGCTTACCTCATCTCCCTTTGGTCCCTGTGTCCCCTGGTTCCCTGGCAGGCCCCGGTCCCCTTTCTCCCCCATCTCTCCTGGGGGCCCGATCAGCCCAATGAGCCCGGCATGACCCTGGGGGGCACAGTGAACAATGAACAGGATGTGCCAGATCTCACCCACACGCCTCTTGCCGAGCGACCCCTGTACCCCGCAAACCAGTGGCACCCCTGACAGAATTTTTCAGGTGGTACGCAGGAGGCCCTAAAGTGTTGGATAAGCTGAGAAAGGAAAGTTCTTGGGAATCGCAGACTCCACCCCCACCATGTCGCTGACTCTTGACCAGTCTTCTTCGTTGGGTTCTTTTCTGGGAGGGGGAAGCGCCGTTCAGCTCTGGCTCCGTCAGCTCTCCTACTGCTTTAACTCCGACAGACTCAAAGCCACTCTTAACACCGCCCACAGCACTGTGCAAAGCCTGATAAACCTCTAACACACCAGCACACAACTCAATTCCACCTCTGTACACCCGGAATTAACAGCTGCTTCCTGTATCCCCAGACTCTATTCGGTATAAATACAAAATGGGAAACTAAGATTGTAGGGGCTTGGGCGTGTATCCTGAAACATTAATATTTTCTTAACAATTTGGGGAATCAATAAAAATGGAAAACAAAATCTTAAGATAATTTAAGTTTAGAATATTCAGAGAACTGTGTACAATTTTTGTCACTACATTATTAAAAATAGATCTTGCGGCTCTGTAATCAGTATAGATAAGAGCCACCAGATGTAGGTATGCCCTGCATTGACAGGCTGAAGCAACTGAATCTCTCTTGCACTGATCAGAATAAACTGCGAGGAGACCCCATACAAGTAATCAAAACCTTCAAAGATATCAACATTCAAACCAGAGGACTTCTTCAGAATCAACACAGAAACACAAACCAGAGGCCACAAGTGCAACCTACTGTATGTGGAAGTGCATTGAAAACCAAAGAATACGGGACACTACCTACTAAATGAGTTAGATTGTAACTTGCAAAGGAACAAGTTAAATGTTTATTCCATTCTGAAAAGAGAAGAAAGGAAACAGAGTTTTGGCTGTGTAGCCTTCTTCAGGTGTGAGCAGACTGTAACTTTTTTGTAACCTTATGTTTATGTTTATGCTAAAATGTTACTAGGTTTATATTAATGATTTTGAAAGTGTTATTTGCAACCCTTAGACTAACATGTAATTTTACAAAAGACAACCTATTTTTTTAAGTGTAAATTTAAAACATTATTCAGGATGCTTTTTCTAAGAATCCCCAGGGACAATTACAATGTCTTATTCTGTATCTGTCTGTTTTATGATGAGTTTTATTTACAGTGTGCTTGGAACTGTAATTGAAAATTCAGCTTTTGTAGCTCTGTGCTGCAACACCCACTTTGGTGAGTTTACAGTGGTTCCTTGATGTTTGTCAGTGGGGAGGGAATGCTGTCACCAGTGTGTAAAGGCAGTTACTCAGGGCTGGGGAATCCTGGGAGAGTGGCAACAGTAAGACGCCAAGGGCAATAGTAAGCTGCCAGCAACCCAGGTTTCCACTTATGGAAGATGCAGAGAAATGTGCCTCTAAGGCTTTGATGCTGGTGAAAGGTGAGGGGTAGCACCAACATCGGTAATGTGAGGGTGCCTGCCGAGGATCTACGGCTCTGTTAGCTGGCCTCCGGTGCACCGATGTAAACTGCGACACAAAGCAGGACAGGGGAGAGGGAGGCAGACCCACCTTGTCACCTTTCCTTCCTGGATCTCCTTTCAGCCCCGGCAGACCAGGAGGACCCTTGAAGCAACAGAAGCAGATGGACAGGATGACTTCCTCATCACTAAATCACTCGGGAATGTACTCTTACTGAACATCGTCCAGTTACCAGGGTTATTTTTGCACTGTAGCATTTCATTTCTAAAAGCTTTTATGTTTTGTTCTTGGTTTTACTGGGTTTTAGTTATGTGTATTATGTGTGTGATGTTGTATAGCACACTGAGTTTCCTAGAAAATGCTCAAATAAAATTGTTACCATTTTGACTATTATGTTAGAAGAATGCATTCAATATTTTCTGTGCTCACCCTCTGGGATGCAGCAGAAATCTCATGACCTGTAGTACCCATATGAGCAGAGGTCTCATGACCTGTAGAATGTGTATCATGAGAGGTCTCACAACCTCTGGGGACATAGCAGAGGTCACATGACTTTTAGTATGCTTTGCTGCGGAAGTCGTGACCTTTAGTATAGTTGGTAAAGGTCACCACAACCTGTAGTACTCTCAACACAGGTCACATGATGTTTAGTACTGTCGCAGTAGAGGTCATACAACCTTTAAGACGTGTATCAGCACAGGTTACATTAACTTTGGGCCACAGCAGAGATCACACAACCTTAAACTACAACACTGTCCCCCTACAACAGTGGAAGGCTGGTTACATGTTCTCATTGCTTTCAATAGAATGGGGAGGTCTTCACATAACTTCACACTCTGAGTTGATTGAGGCTGACCGTACCAGTGGTCCAGGGGGTCCGGTTTGACCTGGAGGTCCATTTAGCCCTTGTTCACCCTGGAAAAACAATGACAGGAGTAGCAGAGGTTAGCAAGGGTGTCCTGAAATCAGTGTGAAAAGAGCCTGAGGAGCCAGAGCTTACAGCCCAACTATTTCTAGGGTGTACATTTATTCCAACTTGTTTAACAGTTTAGTTTATACTGTATGAGGACACCACACATTGTTCACAGCATGCTGGCTCAGAGTCACTGTGCTGTTGTTTTTACTCATGTTCAATAACACTCTGTCAGATAGATAACAGAATGCACTTGGTATCAGGTTTCCAGTCCTGTTGTTTATAATGTGATCTCTGAAGGAGACATGCCAAAAAACCCTTCAGTCTAACTTCTGTTGCTTTTCAACAAACTGTCGATTTGTACAGCATGGAGCCCGGCTTCCTGCCATGATGAAAGTTGAAGTTGCGCAGCTGTTTGAAAAGAGCAGACTCCAGGCTTGTGCACACACCGTGGGGGCAACTTTCTCAGGTGATTTTTTCCCTTAAAACGTCATGCAGGAAGAAAAACTCAGCAATATATTAAATCTCTAACATCAATTCTACGGTTCATGTCCTGTCCTGTACTCCTCTTTAAACCCACCACACAGACCAGACCTGTTTATTTACTGTGCAATACAAGCCAAACTGAAGCAGTTAGAGGTTTCTTAGATATGTTTTTTTCCCTCTAACAGCCCTGTACGCTCTTCTGTGCATCTCGTCAAGAGGCGCCTTTTTCTGACAGAAGTGGAAGAGAAAGAGTGATTCTTGAGACAAGAGGGGAAGAGGTGTGGAGAGCTGAAGGTGGCAGGGAGAGCTGTGAGAGAGTGCTGAACTCAGGCAGGAGACAAGGAGCTTGTTTCTAGCTCCAGGTGGGTCTCTCCCTCAAGGGGGGGCGTGCAGTGTACTTACCGCAGGTCCCGGGATGCCTCGCAGACCTTGTGGGCCAGGTTTGCCAGGGTGCCCCTGGGGCCCCACTGGTCCCGTCTTCCCCACCAACCCCTCAGGCCCCGATTCCCCCTGCGAGACAGAGAGCAGAGAGAACGAAGGATAATTGTTGTATATAAACAGCTGAATGATCTTACTTTCTCACAGTGCTTCTGTGTCTTTGGTATAAATCTTGGCTTTGTCAATGACTGTTTGCATCAGCTCCTGCTTTTGATGCCGAAACAAACCTGAGCTCCCCGATACCACTGTGTTTGTGCCTGTTCCGTTCTGTATTTGGCGTTTTGTCAATGTGGTAGTGCTCCTGTGTCAAGGCTGCTCTGGACATGTGATGCACTAGATGAAATGTGTTACTTTTTTATTTACTGTTTACTGCTGTGATGTTGTTCTCCGGTAATCATAGAGGAGCAGCTGTACTGCTTTATCCCATGAAAAAATACATACACATTTCAGCATCCCCCACGAAACTAACAAATCCACAGAATTTAAAGGCTCTTTCTCTTACCTTGGCTCCCTTTGCTCCTGCCTTCCCAGATTTTCCAGGAGCTCCCAGAGGACCCTGAAGAGAGAGAAAGAGAGAGACCTCGGTCAGACTGTTGCATTACACACCTACAAGTTCACACATATGTATTAAAACCACTGTGATTAGACAAATGCAAAGCTTGCTGTCTTTTATAGCTCCCAAAGATGGTATTTCTTATTCATGTGATTCAAAACACAACAACACACGACTTGTTTTTTACCACTGTTTGCGCTTTAAATGTGAAGTGCAAGACTTAACTCTTCCCGATCTCCTTGGTTCTGTTTGTTTTCTGTAAGAACTGATCTTATAGGAGAGAGCTAAGAGCCAGTGTTTACACAATGGGCAGTGTGACAGGTTTCAAAGCCGCGCAGGAAACACAAAGAGAGCAGACTTTCCAGGTTATTTATGATTCGAGGCATTGATTGGAAAAAAAAACATCAAATGGGGAAAGCAATTTCAAGAAATAAAGTGGACCTGTCCTGTTCTTCCCTGGCAGAGTAAGAGCAGCATTCATTTTTTTAAAAAACAGCTTAATTGAGTCATTTGATCTGAAAAGTTGTACACCGCCACAATGTTTCAGGGAAAGGCTTTAACCAGACTATCCATTCCTTTCTGATTTAATTTCATTTTCGACGAACCGCAGCACCTGTCTGCCTTGGCTTACTTCAGAGGCAGAGGCACCTCTGAGTCCTCTGGTCCTCTGGTCAGAGGAAACCTGAAGCGCTGTAAGGAAGGGGAGCCAGTCTCCTCCTGCAGCCTAGTTCACTGTCAGTCTCTAGAGAGCAATGCAGTTTGTTTCCCTGGAAACAAGCCAGGAGCTAGAGGTCTGAAGGAGCAGTTTATATTGTCTGCCGCTACTACAACACCCACTTGTTAAATGGCCCATTATAGGTGTACAGTGATTTTCTATGGTCCATTTCTCCTTGAGACTTGTTTTTTGCCTTCTTAACTGATTTCTTTTCCCCCGGTAAAACCTACTGAACGCCTGAGACATTACCCACTTCCCTCAGCTGAGTGACTTGAAATTCCAGAGGGAGGAAAATTGGGGTGGCACAAGCCCATAGATGAAGAGGACAGCCTCTCAGATCAGAATGTGGAGAGGGCAGCGCGCCTGATAAAAAGTCTCCCATTCCAGTGGAAACCCTGGCATTGCATCACACTGGAGGACAATCAAGTCACGTGTACACCAGGCTATTTCAGAAAGACGTCTACTGCTTGAATCCTTTGCGTGAGAAAAGTCCTGCAGGGCACATATAGGGAATCAGAACTGCCTTGGATTTTTCCCCAAGAACAGCTGGTACAGTAGGATACTGCCAGGTGGTGGACAGACAGAACTGGGCAGTATAGGAACTGCTGGGCAAGTGAGGAGATGGGTAAGTGTTGAGAGACAAATTGTACAGGAGAAACAAATCAACAATCAGTTTTTTCCTCTTAAGGAGCATGATACCTTATGATCTAAAAATAAGGTGCTTAAGCATCAAGGGGAAGCAAATCTGCACAGAGTTTTGTGTGGGTTTGTGTCACTTACTCTCTTTCCTGGGGGCCCAGGGGGTCCAGGCTCTCCGGAGGCTCCTGGAGGGCCCTGAAAGGAACAGAGAGGCAGCGTGAGAAACTGAGGGAGCGAGAGGCTCCAGACATCCCCAGAGGCACAGAAAGGCAGTATCATGGTGTGGAGTAAAGTGTTGTCAAAGCAGGAAAAATGAAAGATGGAAACTGACTTGCAGTACAATGAGCAGCATAAAGTCTACAGACAAAAAAACAGCATACTTGGGAATCTGAGGAAACTATAGAACTTTAAACATCAACAGCAGAAATGACAGGAAGGAGCCCTTGGTCAGCACTAACTAAACACAAGCCTGGGCTGGAGGGTCTCAGAAAATGTTATAAAACAAATACAGAAAAGTTTGTGTATCGAAAGAACAGACCCCTGAGAGACAGCAGTACCGCCGGAAACGTGTCAATCCAGTTTGAATTTCCGACAGCTGCTTCTCGGAAGCCAAAAACCAGGCAGAAAGCTCCTCCGCAGGAGAAAAGAGGAGCACAGTTCTGGTTTTACAGCATGAGAAGAGGCCAGGGGCCAGAGGAGCAAATAATAGGCACTGAGCCTGAGGCCAGAGCCAACCCTGCATGGCACCATGGTCCGACAGCGCTCAAACACAGAAAAGTTACACAGCCTTGCTTTTCAAAGTAATTGTGAAACCTGTTCTACTTTGAGACACTAAAACCCCAAAACAAAGACTACTGGTTACAGTAGTAGTTTTAATGCCTCCCAGGGTATTTTAGATGTTCCTTAAAGCAACAACTACAACACACATAAATCTGAGCATTTCCAAATATTCGGACACATGAAAGACTAAAACACAAAAAAAAGGGATTAGATTTATTTTTGCTCGAAGAAAACGATTTTGTTATTGACTGCCAGAGAGCAGCTAGGTTTCTGGGAGAAAAAAGGGACAGAGTACAAGATAAGAGAGGCTTACAGGATTCCCGGGATCGCCCGCGTCCCCCTTGTCTCCCACGCCGCCATCCAGCCCCTGGGAGAGACAGAGCCGGAGAAGGAGATCAAGAGGTTGGTCTCTCAGCGAGAGCTCCCTCGCGCACTCAGACTGCGCTGAGAGTCCTGTCACGCAGGCTGGCCACTGCACTGGCTTTACATGTGCTGCACGTTTGTTCGGTCTTTTTTTAGATGGGAAGTAAATTAAATAATGAGACACATTGTTTTAATTTTATGAACTACCCAGGACAGAGTGCTTATCAAGTAATGTGTTGTTTCCCACCAGCTAACAGGACTGCTGAAATAGATAAATGGGCCTGTACAGAGAGGAGACCATTACATTGAATAATCATTACCCCCTTCGTACAGATGTCACGGAGTGCATCAGAGAATTCTACAAAAAACAACCAACGCTGAGCGGCTCTTCCAATCAGACTTCAGCTATACTAGACCACAGCATTTTTTTAAACTGTTCAATACAGGTAAACATAGAGAAATTAAAAATAATAATAATAATAATAATAAACAAACTACTTGTGTTCATCAACGTAGCTACAGACACATCAGCTCTCCTCTTTCCACAAAGCAGATTTGGCAGGCGTTGATCACATCTATGGGACACTACAGCTTCCTACTGTTCTCTGCTGCTTTCAACCCAGTACGTGAAAATAAATGTGACTTGGATGAGCTACAAAGGTAAGATAATTTGAAGAGAACACAAGCCAAGCCATTTCTTGATGAGCAATTTATTTTGTAACATTAATTGTTTAGGAAACTGTTCTCAAAATGTTTCGCAAGAGTTATCCTATTCTGATAAGAAAGGTGGATCACAAGGTTTGAACAGTAACAGAACTAATAACAGTGTTCTTTCCAATACGCACAGGGTGATGAAAGGGGGATTATATAATAATGACATTATGATATGGAAACTCTTTCTTTTCGGGATCAAAACTGTTCTAACCTCAGTTTTTCAGATCATTTGACAAAAGAAAAAATTACAAATCAAAGAAGTAGAAAGGTTTGTGCATGTACCAGGTGTATAATTATTCTACCATCTGCATGTGATTGAAATTCTCCCTCATTAGTTTTTAATGACTATTCCTGCCTGTATAATCATGTGAGGGGATTGCTCAGCACTTGATGTGCCTCCTTTCACTGGCTGTAGGTCAGTAAATGGTTGGAGGTTGTTTCTTATTTGAAGTCAGGTCACAGGTTAGGTAGGGCTGCAGGCCAGAAACCAGTATTTTCTGCAGATACTGTACCCCTGAAAGTTACAGTATAAAAGATACTCTGAAAGTATCTACAGATTCCTCACTCTGGTCACTGTAAAAGCATACATTGTGGCATCGCTCGATGCGTCAGATCTTGTGTCCCCACAGATTGACAACTGTACTAATCTCGATGTGTTCTGATCGTGGTGAAAACAAACGTGTTTGATGTTCGGCTGGGAAGCATTCTTTGTGATGTTTGCAAATTCTCCTTCTGTTTATGTACTGCTGTCGATGAATTCATACTGTGAAGCATTGAATTTTACATCTTGAAAACGTTGCTTGCCGGCCACTGGAAAACAGCATGGATAGCATTCCTGGGATTTACTCACATTGACGCCTGGCTCTCCTGGTGGACCGGAGTCTCCTGGGAATCCAATGGGACCCTGAAAGAGAGAGAGAGTCAGGTGTCAGTGGTGTATACAGACAATCCAGCTCAAAATATTGGCATGCATTCCATTAAGCAGTCCTTCTCATTAAGCCCAGTTTGTACCTGGCAAGCTGCAGAGGCCCTGCTACCCTTAACACAGCTCTTCCCAATTATTTAATAATGAGCCGATTTCTGCTGGGATTTATCTTTTCACTTTAACATTGATAGAAATTAGAGTTCATTAGTACTAAGATCCTTCAAAACATCAACATAGTATCCTACTGCTTAAGCAAACAGTGTCCTCTAGATGCATTTCCGTTTGGCAAGGCTTTTGAGAAAAAGCACTTATTTTCAAGAGAAAAAAATCTCAGAGCTGGGAACTGTTTGGGAGCAGGTGCTGTGCCTCTCTGAGCAAGACGCTCATCAAACCCATGCTGTCCTGTTCCTATAAATACTCCGCGCCTCCTCGCTCCCGCTCTGTGCCCGTGTTAATCCACGGACGAGGGGAGGAGGTGGGCGAGTCGGTGAGATCTGAAACTCTATTGACCTTCTTTTCGATCGCAGCAGAGGGAAAGTGAGAGGAACAGAGCATCCAGCTCACCTCTGACCAGCCCTGCCATCACTCCGGAGTCCAGACTCAAAGCGGAGGCTGTGTTATCAGAAAGGGCTCGTCTCCGGTTTCATTTCCACCCTTCCATCACCTGCTGTGAGGCTTCCTCCACACTACTTTGCTTTGCGTTTGTATTCAAGGTTCTCCAGAACAATTAGGCTCTTGATTTTTTTTTAATTTGGAGTTTTTATTTTTTTAACTATGTCCCTAACTTATTTTATTTTTTTCACTAACTTATGAAGAATCTCACTGTTTAAGACCGTTCTCCAACGAGAAACACAGCGGAAACACAGGTACAGGCAGGATGCGGACCAGCAGGCGTGGTCTGAGGCTGGTCAAAGCCAACGAGCAGAGTTTCAGACATGTCTGCTGGCCAGAATACAGACTTCAGCTCCAGCGAGACCAAGGGAACGCGCGGGCGCTAAATAAGACGCAGGAGTCGCTCTGGGGAGCTCCAGCTGACATACTCTAACCCTACACCTAGGTGGCGCTCTTCCTCTTAGCAAATTCCACTCACACAGTCGTTGGCAACACAACGCCACTACCAGTAAACTCAGCCTGCATTTAGAGTGGGCACCTCCCTCCACTGATGTAGCCCCCTAGGTGCCCTATGGTCTCAGTGCCATTATATACTGGCAAAAGATGGCCTGGAATGGTCCCAGGAGGTCTCTTACTCAGTGGCCATGTTTCAGCATGGAGTGCCATCTTTAGCACCACTCCAGCACTGATAGACACACCAGAGTTAATGTTTATGTCTGTCAGGTCAGAAAGCAATGCCCTTTCTTTGTGCAACAACAGAACTGAAGTCAGGCTGAGAGCTGCTTGGGGCTCCTTCAGAACTGAAACACACCTAAGTTGTTGTTTTCAATGGGTGGCTGGGCTAAGATGGGTAGAATAGTTTCAGGTCGTCTCCGGGGAGACTCTGGAAATGAAACTGTCAGAGAACAAGGCATTTGGCACTGGAGTGGATTCTGACAGAGAAATACAGTACACGTAAAAAAATATATATCCATTGGATAGGATACCAGGAACCTCCACTGAATGAAGGGCTGAACCTTTCTGCTAACAGCTTGAGTAGGCCATGGACCTGTATTCCTCAAGGTTAAGAAATACTCACAGCCCGGTGCTATCCCGTTCTTCCAGCAGAATTGTGTGGGACTGACCCAGTTCCAGCTATTTGCAACAGGGCCATCCTGCCCCCGAGTCTATACTGCACATTCCTTACTTCACAGGTTAGATACCTCCCTCTCTCACCCCGGTGTTTTGGATCCTGTCAGCCTGACACAGAGACTCTTTCAGGTGAATTTCTGTCCACACAGCCCTTGTTCATGAATTGAGGTTAACTGCGTGGTGCACTGCGCTGACATTGCGGAGTGACTGAATAGAATTTGATTAATATGAAACAGTGATTACACTAGACAGACATGTATACAGAATAATTTGCCCTGTGTTTTTTTTTTCCACGTAAAACCAACCATCAAAGCACGAGAAAATAGAAAAGCTGTCCTTGCAAAGCTCAGTGAGCTGCCGTCTGCACAGGGTTAAGCAGCTGACGTTAAGACGAATTAATGAGAAGACGAATGTGACAGCCTCCTGTTGAAGAGGCTCTCTCCAGAGTGACTCTCTGGCAGTCACCGCTCCTAGCACTAGAGAAGGCGACAGATTAGAGATGGAGGGTGAGAGGGAACGAGACTCGGTCGTCAAGGAAACTAACGAGCTCCGTGATGTTCAAAGAAGGAAGGGGCAGGCCGGGCAAGCTAGGGAGCTGGGGCAGCCGAATGACTGAGTGAGTGACTGAGGGGCTAACTGGGTGCCTGGCAAGCTGGCTGAGTGAATGAGCAGCCCTATGCAATCGCAGGTCACTGCTCTGCTTGTCTCTTCCTAATGGGCAGCCTGTCGCCAAAACAGGTCTGAGCCATAGCAGGACTGCAGCCTTCTTGTACACATGCCAGTAAATCCCTTTCATTAAGCTGGACGCTGTCTATTCAAGACGCTGAGTGCCAGATACACTATTTGAGACACTTGACTAGAGATTTGATTGAAAATACAGACCCCTAAAGCCGAGAGCAGACTTTCATTACACTTACGGGCAAAAGGAACTTGAACTTTTCAGTCTTGCACAGCAAAGATTATGAGGGCAGCTGATACAATTCATTATTTAGTATTCAAAATCTTTCAAAGGCATCAACAAAGTCAGTCCACTGGACTTCTATAGGACTGCAGCCAGAGGACATGAGTGGAAAGTACGTGAAGTACAGGAGGTACTTCTTTACACAGGGTGGTAGGAATGTGAAACAAGATGCCCAGCCATGTTGGTGCAGCTGATAACCCTGGCTTCCGTGAAGAAAAGGCTGAACGGGATCCTTGGCTCAATCAGTTACTAACTACCAAACATTCTTGAACCTTGGTTCTTGCTTGAAACCTTTCTTAGGTTTTTATTAAACTATTAGACAGCTGCTCCATCCAAAGCAACTTACATTTGTACATCCAGGCAAGTGAAAAGCTTAGATCCGTCCAAGGATCTGAACCTGCAGGCTTCAAGTCATGAGTCCAGAGCCCTGACCACCACTACTTACAGTGTTTCCTTTGGGTCCGTCTTCCCCAGGAGGACCTTTGACCCCGGGGGGGCCAGCAGCACCAGGTGGGCCCGTGTCTCCCTTTTCTCCAACTTCTCCCTTAGCACCCTGAAAATGCAAGGTCCCAGGAGCACAATGGATCAATACAGGAGCACACACTGAAGGAATGACTACCTATGTTTCACATCAGAGGGACAAAACTGCAGCTCTCATGCACGTACTGTACTAGAAGCTGTGATCACAACAACCACAGGCAAGACCAAGACCAAGTCAGTAACCTAGAGCCTACAGAGCAGAACTGTTCACTGTACCCCAGTAACTCCACACCACCTGCTTTCAATATTGAGCCTTTAGCAATAATCATCTGCATCAGGCCCTGTGGGATGTGCATTGCCTGGACTCTTGTTTTGTGTTCAGTGCTGACCTAAGAGGTCATTGGGATGTGAAGGTTTTGATCAGGCTGATGTAATTTAGTAAGAAATAGTTCCTTGACAGAAGAGGTTTGTTGAGCTGTCAGTGTGCGTTGGCTGCAAAGGAAGAATTAAAGGTTTATTTATTTTATTTTTATTTATTTATTTTTATTTGATTTTTTATTTTATTTTCCATGGCAGAAAATAGAAGAAACACTGTGTTTCAACTATTAAGTACCTCCAGGTGTCACCTGAATTAACCTTTACTTGCTCCTTTATAGTTCCTAGGTGTTAGAAAAGCAGGCAGTACCTCTGTCGAGTGACTCTGGCAGTGAATGGTTTTTGTTTGGGCTGTGGGAGATGAGTGATAATTTGATAATGCAAGCTCTGCATTTCTAGGGCTTACAGATAGTGTCTCCACACTGACATTTAAAATCCATTTTCTCTGGATACATCCTTTTTCAAGCACAGGGGTTGGCTCTCTATAAGGGAACACAGGAGACCGTTTTTGCTGTGTCCTAGTATAAAAGCTCATAGACACGGCCTGTGTTTTAAAATTGTTCTCTGAGAGAACGACAGGCCTCAGTTCACTTGTGTAATAAACTTTATTCAGATCCGCAGCGAACTGAACTGTGGCTTCTCATTTCCCCCCACTGCGCGGTGTGTGACAGTGAAAGTAAAGCAGCAGACTCTGTGTTGCAAACTAGAAGCGGCCGGTCACTCACGGTGGGGCCTGGTTCGCCCACTTGCCCAGGGTTTCCTGCTTCGCCGTCTTCCCCCTGGAAGAAAACAGCACAGGTCATGGTCTTCTGCTTGCATTGGAATTGGTTTCGTTATTAGGAAGCGTCTCTCAGGAGTTGCACTGTTCTGCCACACAAAGCCAACGGGTGTCATTATCTGCTCTGGGTTAGAGCAGTGACCATGAAGGTCAGAGTTCACCTCTGGAGGCCACAATCCCTCTTCACTCTTCTCCCCGACCCCCTGCCAATCTGGGGACCCACCTTTTCTCCCACAGGTCCTGGTTGTCCAACACCTCCAGGCAATCCCAACGGACCCTGGAAAACAGCAGGCCATGCATGACTGGATGGATCTCTGCTTAGGCTCCCAGTATCTCGACTTACCCAGGAATACAATCTTCTGTCACGACTGGAGTATATTCCTGGGTGCATGACTGTCACAGTAAAATGAAACAGTTAAATTCTTGTGAAGAGTTCACCATAAGCTTCCAAATCCTGTGAAAGAAAATCTTATTCAGACAAGCACAACACAAAGCGCTTTACTATAGCAAGCAGCTTCTGTCTACATACATAACGAGGCAGGGCACAGTCTGTATAACACTGCACAGCTCTCATTCATCACTTGGAGTAATCCAGGACCTCCAACAGCTGAGCACAGATCAAGTCTAGGAGGGTGTGTGTATGCAGGGTGAAATTTTAAACACTGTTTTCCCCCACAACTACATATTTATATTCAGCTTAAAAATAGATCCAGGGTGCAGGCAACATCAGGAACATCTGGATTCCTAATTCCCCTTGCTCCCCCGACATGCTCCGATTAGCAGCTCCCAGCTCTGCACCACAGCAGTGATAGAGCCAGTCTGTTGCTATCAGCGCTGTTGCACTTTGTGCTGAAATGGATCATGGCACCACAAAAAACGCCTTCCCCTCACCTTGGCACAGCACCTGCTAACACAGCAGCGATGACAGTGCCAGTCAGGGGCAAACTGCTTGTAAGTGGCAGACAGGTGGCTCAAAAAACTCAAGACTCTGGATGTCTTGGGGACTGGTTCCGAAGCATGAATCCCTTCACCTGAGGGGTAGTGAAGGAGGCGAGGGAGGGCACAGCCACAATGGCACAATCAGATCGCAGGTGCAGAGAGATTGTGTTTATAGAGCCGCAGACCTCCACGAGGCAAGGCACCACACCGAATTGTCAGAACAGGACGGGTCATTTTATTTAAATTTAATCGCACACGAAACCGGACAGGCACTTGATGAAGCATCCAATGCTGGGAGTGTCAAGTTGAGAGTGTTCTGGACTGCTGTTTACACAACCAGAGCACAGCGCCTTCAAGACGTGCTCTCCAGACGTGAAGCCCTGGTGCTCTGTGTTCTCGGGACCACTGGAGATCAGAGGAGTGAGAAATCCACCGGCCCGGCCGACCGAAGACCAGCTCAGGTTCTCGAAGGGGTGGGGCACTTTCCCATTCGCAGTCTTGTACGTTTTATGGGTTGAAGAAAAAATTTGCAGCGGAAGAATTAATTAGTAAAGTAAAAGATCAGTAAAGTAAATGGTAGGCCATCTTCTGGAAGGCTTAGTGAAATGGAATCGGTTCTCTTTGAGCTACTAGAAAGAACGTGAGCGAATGTCGCCTGCAGGCCCTCTGCTGTCACTGTGCTGATCGGGGCTGCACATCCTTTTATTTATCAGGGTCCGTTCACTTCGTCCTGCTCTGAGGGAACCTTCAGAGTGGCTCCGGCAGAAAAACTTGCTCCCCTCTGCCTTTTCAGATCCGCAGATCTGCGAGCACTGCCGGCGCTGGGGAACAACGCGCAGTTTTCCTTTAAATTCTGCACAGAGTTGCTGGGAAGAAAGGGATATGCCCTGTGAAGCGTGTATCCCTTACTGCACGGAATATTTAATACTGACTAGATCATCTCTCTCGGCTGAGGGGTTCGGTGCACGGGAATTATTTTCAATGCAAATCTGTTTTTCTGTGCGAGAGGCGACTGCTCGTCTTCCTTTATTTCTCCCCTCTCCCTTCCCCACATTTTGAAACACCCATTTACATGGCTGATGTAAATTAATCAAGTTAACCTGATATATTACCTAACTGGGGAGCAAAACAAATGAAAAGTCCCACTCCCTGGCCTCCCAATCCATCACTCTAATGACTAGAGAAACAGTCCTGTGTGCTGTAGTCCCAGTGAGAATGCTCCCAAGAACAAAGGCACTTCTCCTTCGCCATCCCTGTGCTCCCCTGCTGTTTATAGATTTTTATCTATTAATCTGTGGATGTGTATCTTCTTAGCCACCTATCTGTCCTCCAGTCTAAATGCAGTAGCATTGCTGCCACCTTTAACTATAGCTTTAGAATTTTACAGTACTTAAGCTATTTATTCATCGGTCACCCATGATATTGTAGATTATAAATACAGCACTCGGCACAGATACCTCCTGCAACTTTACTGAAACACTGATTCATCCTGGCAAGTGGTAGTTTCAGGCATTCTGGCAAATTAACTTATTTAAGACACACGGTGTCAACACTTAACGTATGTCTCCTAATGTACAGATAGTAAATCGAATTCAGGCCCCACAGGTTAGAAGGCAGTTTGTTTTAAAAAAAGAAAAACGAGTGTGGCTGTGTCTAGGGTGTGTGTGGCTGCTATTCAAGTGATGCTATAGCTGAAAAAGAAATGACCTTAGGCACTGTTCGTGTGTGGGGAGTTATGGATTGTGCCCTGCTGCCTCTGAGCCGCTGATAAATCCCTGTGATGGCACGAGCCTGAGACGTCAGGGGTACGAACTAACACTGTCGCCGCAGGCCCCTGCTATCTCCCAGCCAGTCTGGAAGACAACCAGCTGGCTTTCCATTAAGAGTGCAAACCAGCGAGGATATTGACAGGGAATATATTAGGAGTGAGAGAGCAGTCCGCGGGCATCTCAGTTTATTTCAGTGACTTCAGATTCTGGTCCTTGGGCTGAGAAAGGTCATTAATCACTCGGCAGATAGGCAATCAAATTTAATAATATTTATTCCTGACACTGTTCCTATCTAAAGGAGCAGCTGGGCAGATCATGTTCAGTGCTCTAACAAGATCTATGGCCCCTGCGTGCCTGCTTAGTGTGCTCTCCTGTAGCCCTGCTCTGAGAGAAACTACAGCTGATGAACAGTGAGCAGTCTCCTGTTGGAGACGCATGGCAGAGCACGAAACGCCAGCACGGAGGGGTGCCTGGAACGTGTGGTGATAGAGAGGTCTCTCAGCCTGTGCTGTCCTTGTTAAGGGTCTTAGAGCAAGCATTGTTGATCAAGATGGGCTTGCTCTGCTTTGCAGCTTGCAGGTTTTGACTGTACCATAAGAAAAAGGAAAACAAGAAAAACATAACAATACAACAAAGGCTTTCTAATTGCCAGTGTTCTGTTAAATGATAAATACATGCCTTTGTTCAAGCGACACATACTGTACAGCGCTGTTGTACACAACACAATAGTGCCCAAGTGATAACACCCCTGTGCCAAGCCAGACCGTACTCCAAGGCCATCCAATGAAATACAATGCAAATCAGCCCATTTCCATTCCTCCTCAGGTGCAAGGAGGTCCTCTCCTACGGGTTCTCTCTATTTCATAGGCTTTTGAACAGGAATAAAGGGAATCTTTCCTTTGAAAAATGACCTTTCTTGGCACTGAAATACAATACAGGTTTTACATTCTGGGGCTTTGTGTCTCTTCACTGATGGACACTGACTCCATCAAAACAGCTTGTGAGACCAGCTCAACACCCACAGCACCACCGACTGCCTGTATCCTAAACACAGCCTTTTGGTGTAATAAAAGGTGATTGAGGTTTTGCTGCGGTATCTCTTCTAAGGGCTAGGCCATCTAAAAATGCTGAGGCCCAGTGTTCATGTCTTCTCCAGTACATGTCTTCAGCCTGACGTACAGTACACTGCTTGCTAACCTACACTGACCTCTGGTCAGACTCTGCAGAAGATGAAATACTAAGCAGCTGTCAACTACTGTACAACCCACTGTACCTACTGTGGACATTCCACAAAAAAGTATTGAAGACCTTCTTGGGCACACCACCTTGATCTTGACCTTGTGAGAGCACACCATGCTGTGTTTGCTCTAACACACTACCCTACAGCCCCCTGCTTTGTTAAGAAAGAGCTGATCTGCACATTGGGACAAGAAAAGGAATCAGATAAACTCACCTCTCCGCCGTTGGGCCCAGGCGCTCCCCTGGGGCCGTGCTGCCCGGGGGGACCCTAGGAGAGATCAGGCAAGACAAGAAACATCAGTGACCAGAGGAAGGTGCTTTACTTACCACACATGCTCGGTTAGCTTAATGCTGGCTCGAAGCTCAGGGAACAAGGTGTCTCAAAATCAAACGTCTAACAGGGCAGTGTTTGATTTCAACTTTCATTATTTAAAAACTATCCCGTCCATCACTTGTCAGAGACCACTTGAATCTTAATGGGTCGTGGGTAACGGTCACCTGAAAGGTACAGAGCACAAGGCAGAACCTCACTCTGGATGAGAGGCCAGTCCATCGCAGGGGGACATGACTGGATGTACTCATGTACAGCCATGTGCTTTCTAACAGCTTTGTCCATCCTGGGGTTACAGGGGAGCCAGAGCCTATCCCATCAAGCAACAGGTGCAAGGCAGGATATGCCAGACCATCGCAGGACACGCACAAACGTACACACACACACTCACACCAGGGCCAATTTCCCCAAAAACCAATTATACTACCGGCATGTGCTTGCACTGAGGGAGGAAATCAAAACACCTGCAGCACACCCACGCCAACATGAGGAGAACATGCAAACTCCACACAGACAGCACCCCAGGTCTCAGATTGAATCCAGGGCCCCCGCTTTGCAAGGCAGCCATGCTGACCACTGCGTCACCATGCCACCTGCTCATATCAAGGGAGGAAATGCAGAACAATGCAGAAATGGGGAGAACCTACAGACCCCATACAGTGAGGCCGCAGCACTAAGTTTGTCCACTATACTGCATCGCATGAAAACATCACTGCTCAGAACAATTCTCCTCCGGCTGCAGAACATGCACAGCAGATCCATGAACCAAAATCAATATGGAGATTTTGTGGCAGCGCTTTTCTCAGTTTTTTAAAGCAGCAACCTTACTGAGGCTGATTTAGCATGGGAATCCAGCAAAAGTTTTGATTTTCGTACCCTATCGCCCGTGAGTTTGGAACTGCCAGTACCCACATCACCGCCTCTCTCTGTCTTTCAGACCACTAATCCCAGAGTGGAGAAATGGCACTTTCAGCGCTGCGGGATCATGGGTGAACAGCAGGGGGCGCTGCTGTGTCATGAGTGGGCCACTGTGACTCAAGCTTGCTCAGACCTGATGGCAATTGGCCAAGCATGAGCCATCATCTGGTGAATTGTGCTCAGTTGGCACATGTGACTGCAAACTGCAGGTGAAGTCTGGCTACAGAGATCAGCCTTCGCTCCAAACGAGCATCATCCCTCAGGACATATTCAGTCTGATTCCCCCCAATTCCCCTTGCCTATTGATTCCCTGCTGTAATCCCAATCACATGACACCCATTGGACAAATCTCAATGCAAAAAAAAACTCACTCGCCTTAAAAAGGTCGAAGTGAATCAGTTGGTGTTACTTTTTCACTGTTAGATTTCTAAAACTGGGCAGTGTTTACTGAGTGTTTAGACGTGATATAGACCACAGCAAAACAACATAGTGGCACTGTCAGTGCTGTTTAAAAACCTATCCAGAGCTCAAAGTGAATCGTACAAACATTAAGCCTGACATCCCTCAAGGAACAGACAATGTTTAATCTTGACTAATCAAGGCAACCATGAAAGTGAGTTTGTTATTTCAATGTACTGTAACTGTTTCCCAGGGTTTTGATCGGAATGATGACCAGCGTGGATCTATGTTCCCACTTTTCAGGACTTTTTTTTGTCTTCCACAGCTGAAAAGAAACTCGTTTACGGCGAAGAGCTTTCAATCAATCTCGCCTCTTCTCGCTTGCCAGTTCTGGTTAGGAAGGAGCTCGCTGCTTTGCACAGCGCTATGCGACAGCTGCACACAAGTTAACAGATAATGAGTCTACAAGCCAGGGCAGGAACTGAATCATTAATCGGACTCAGACAAAGAAATCAGATGCTGAAACTCTAGACTGTGTTCCTGACACTGTGCTACATTTCCGCTTTTTTATGTGAAATCTTTTATAATCTGGTCATGCTCTGAATGGCAAATACAAATCTTCACCACAGACACAACCTCACTCAGCCCTGCTGTGCGGTGTATGGGCTGATAGTAATGTTCTTGTTTTACTGTTACAGAATTGTGGAATTAGAGAATATTCTAATATCTATACATCACAGACACCAAGAGTCCCCTGTTGTTTTATTAAGCCAGGTTATATTAAAATTTCTCCTACACCGTATTCTCACACCCCTCCTCCACAGACTCAGTTGTCACTATCCTGCCAGCTCCTAGCACAGAGCACGGCACCATGTATTATCATCAGTGTACAATTCCCAGCCGGGTTAGTAACTGCATATTGACTGGAGCAGCAGGGCGGGGCTGAGGAGCTGCCAGCCCACCCAGGTGACCTCATCAGTGACTGACCAGCGTGAGGCCGTGGTGACCTCACAACCAGACAGTCGTCAGCCTGGGAGGCAGGGGACAGCAGTGGCCCACAGCAGGGCTGGACCTGGGGCTGTAAGCAGGCAGCACAGCAGTGAGCTCTCCACAGGTCTCAGAATAGCCAAGGGTACTTCGGGGTTGGGCCACAGGTACTCCACAGGTACTAGTCAAGACCTCAAAAAACAGGTGGTGTGATATTTTCCTAGATGAGATAAGATCAGAGGATAAAAGGAAAAGCTGGTATTTGTCTCTCCCTGCTTGAGCATTTTTTCATCCTTAGCCCTAACATACAGTACTTCTTGTTCGCCTACACAATGCCCAGTCACAGTCTGTGTCAGCACTACGGTCAGGCAGGGAGACCCTCAATGGCACTGTCGGGTGCTGTTGGCTTTCTCTCTTTTCTCTGTTCTCCATTCTGCTGTTGGGTATCCGCCTTTACTGGTAAAGACTTTGCAGATCGGGAACAGAAAATCGTGGCTGGCGAGGAGCTGGGTGTTTCAAGAAAACAAATTCGGAGTTGCAATCAGATCACTTCAGTGCTGTTTGCCTGTAGGCTGAGGGCTGCCCTTTTCATTTTATCAAAGGCTTGAAAATGGTATTGCAGCTGATCATCTTATCCCTTTTGCTTTGCGGGAGCTTGCTTCTCCTGCCTTTCAGATTCTTTTTCCCCTCCCTGTTCACTTATTCGATTTGCCGTTCTGTAAGTTGCGGACGCTCGGATTGGGATTCGCGTCCCCCCGGCGATTAACCCTGAGGGTTTGACATGAATCCGGAGCCTACAGCAGAGCGATCCGTCAAATCCTCTTTATTAAAACAAAACAAGATGGGGAGGCGGAGGGGAGGAGAAAGCGCTTTCCTCACAGCTGCCTCAGTGACACTTCAGAGATGTCCAACATGGCAAGACATGGAAACACGGCCTACAGTATGTTGCTCTGCGAATGAGGAGATGAAGGCTTGATGGGGGAGCGGGAGGCGGGATCTCCGAAATCCTCCTGCCGCTATGTTCCTCCCATTCCTATATTCATATTTTCATCCCGCTTCTGCACTGGTATAAATTAGTCAAACGCCTGTTGATTGTTTTTTTCTGCAAGGGATGCACTGACCCGGGACACAGCACCCGAGTGATCCCATCCCTGACAGCCCTGCCCAAGACAGACGCTGCAAGGAGAAGCATTTCACTCTTGCCACGCAGGAGTGAGAGGACCCTGCCAGACCTGCCGGTGTTCTGTCACGGGATTTTGATTTACGGAGCAGAGTCCTGTGTGAAGGCCAGGCCTGGCAGCAGCCTCAGAAGCATCTTTGCCTCGCATCCTCCTAGCTACACCTATGGCCCGCAGCTCCCATCCAGTCTGCCCTGTAATTTATAAAGCGCATGCTCCTGACAGCTTTCCTGGTACTAGACCCGCTAAGTTTCCTCTTTATGATCCTTGCATTAACGAGCACGATTGCTTCAGAGTTTCGATTGCTTGCAAGCTCAAGCTAATTGCAAGCATCATCATAAAGCAGGTAACACACAAAGGTTATCTGGGCATGCTGCCCAAATTCCCCCGGGCTCTACCAGGGGATACGTCCAGCCTTGCCAGCTTTCTACTCCGACAAGGGCAGCCTCGTTCCGAGACGGATGGAAAAACACAGTTATGGGTTTAACTGTGCTGCAGATATTTAGAATGGGTTTGTGTTCCAAGTGGAAACTCCTACAAGGAATCCCTAAAAAGACATACCTTTTCTTTAAAAGTTCTGCTTTAAAAAAAAATAATGCCACAAATGATAATTAATGAGATAAAAATGTTAATTAAGAGGAACAGGTATTCAGTTCCAAACAGTTTCAGTTTCATATATTCCCCATTAACACGGAAAGGGCATTGGACATCTATCTTCATAAGACCTGCTACATTAATAATGAGAGTTATAACCATACTCACCATCAGCCCTGTGTGCCCACTGTCTCCTTTCTCTCCTGGTGGCCCTGGCATTCCCTGTGAAAAGAGGAGCATGCTGTTGTCAATAAACAAGCATGAAGCTGAGAGAGGAGGATGGGGTACATCCATCAGGACTGCTAAACAGCACAGCACACACTCACACAGACACACACTGAAGTAGGATGTACAGTATCGACGAGGAACTGCAGTCCCAGCTTCCCAGACCAGTTATTAAATCTCGGTAAAAAAATAAATTCATTGACAGTATAGAAACATTTTACTAATTTTGAATTAAGCGCAAAATTGTGAACTTTGTGAAAGTGCTGCATGATCACCATGTGGTCACAAAATGCTCAAAGCCCTGCCATCTCACTACTGTCAGTGTACCCCCCAAAAAAACATCACGGCTCATTGTTGTTAATGAAAAGGTGGAGGAATCACATTTGCATTTTCATTTAAACTGCACCTGTGTGTGCACGCCCGACTTCAGGGTCACAGTTGCCGCTCTGCAGAAAGAAAAGTCTGCAAGCAAATCAATACCAAAGTTAAGAAAGGCTTCATCTCTCTGCAGATACTGGGCTGTAACCAAGCACTTCGTGCCAGGCAGTCTGCACCAGAGACATGCCTTCTGGTACTTTAGTGAGCTAATTAGGCATTGCTGGGAGGACAAATGCTTGAAGATAAAAACATTGACTAAGGAATTGCCACATTTGAGGAATGCGGTATCTTCTGTTCCAGCTACAGACAGTTTTGGTTTGTCTTTCTCAGCAGAGCGCACCTGCAGTCCGGTGGGGCCCTGGGGGCCAACGAAACCCCGTAATCCTTCGTCTCCCTTCTGTCCGTACATCCCTTGCTGTCCCCTGGGGCCCGGCTCCCCGTCGATACCCTAGAAACACATGCGAGAGAGGGGTGCAGCTTCATGATCCAAGACCTCCATAGCCATACTGTACAGTGACATTCACAATCAGGCAAAAAAAAAAAACACATCTGCTACAATATACAGTACATCTGTCATAATAGGTAATATTATACTAATCAATAAGACACAGTCTACAAAGAAAAGTCTCAGATGTGAAACTGCTGTTCTCTGGTGAGTAACCCCACGCGCACTTTGCAGGTACTGCAGTCCAGCCGCACCCACTATCAGGTGACCCACATGCAGAGAGGACACTTACCGGAGACCCAGGCTGTCCGATCGGACCCTGGCTACCTGGGGGTCCAGAGGGCCCCTAAGAGAGAAAATGCCAAGATTAGAAACAGCAAGAGTGCTTCAGTGACTGCAAGAATTGAATGACATGCTGCAGTGCCTCATAGTTTGGGAGAATCCAGCTTTTGTTGGGACTTCACTTGAAGAGGAATCCAATTGCGTCAAGTGCACAGATTAAACGGGTCTGGAAACAAAGACTCACAGTGCACGGCTGTTTGAGGCGTGCCAGGGCCTACTAGCAGTGGCAGAAGCTGTACTACTGAGACAGAACAGCAAATGTGTCTCTCAACACTCTACACAACCACCTACTCAATCCTCCCTTCCTCAGGTTGAGCCACCGCGACACAGTTTAGAATAACCGACAGCACTGTTACATGTACTTTATGACTTGCCAGGCGCCCACTGGCCAGTGTGACATTGCTGTAATGCCAGTGACTGATGAGTCACTCCTGCTCTCGGGGCTGAGCTTCGTCACAGAGCTGGGAGGCCCTCAGTGCGCCACAAGAGGAGCAGCCCTGGCAGACGAGCTCTCTGCAGGGCCACGGTTTTCCCTGTACCGACACGGGGATCGGGACCAGAAAGACGGGTCTTGGAAAAAAAAACAGCGACTCCAAACTGAGCAATTTTAATAACTCAGCAAACAAATGATGGCAATCTCGGTTTAAAAGCAGGGCGGCATGTAATCGATACTGAATTTCTCTCACTTGCGGTGCACCGTGAAAGCCCCTCGGCCATCAGGACGCTTGCTCTGGTACAAAGATCAAGCCTTCAAGACGATCAGTCCGCCAGTCTGTGGTGGATTTTTAGGATTTATAGGATTTTTACGTTTCGCTCCTGTTTCTCCTGAGGAAAACTCACCGCTTCACCCTTGTCTCCTTTGCTGCCTTTCTGCCCAGGTCCTCCCATGTCGCCCTGGAGAATGAAGAAACGGGCAGTGAGATCAGAGTGTTATACTTCTCACCTTCACGCCTCGGGGTCTCTGACAGCCAGATCTTATTAATGCCTCTGCCTACACAACAGCGGCTACCGAAAATTAAAGAGTGCAATGGGAGGTTTCTCTCTGTTGGTAATGTCCAATTTCAGGTTTTTTCTCTTTCCTTCTGCTTGTATTTCACTTCTTCTGCCTTTTGGTTCTGTTTTTGACACTTCCATTTGCAACAAGATTTCTCAAACCATTAATCCTCATTTGAGTCTCTCTCTCCAGCTCACCCCACCTGTGAACGCAGGCACTGTTCACACCAGTAGCTGCTATATTACAACGAGCAGGTGCTATTGCAGCGCTGCACTGCCTGGGTACAAGCAGGGGATCAGGACTGCATGTGTTTTATTCGCTCGCAGGGTGACATTCAAGAGTTTCCTTGCATGCGGTTTCCTTAGAGTGCACTAGAAAAAAATACGTTAAAATTCCAAAACTAGCAAGAAACACTGTGCTGTAAGATTCCCTTTATTTCCTCACTTCAAAATAGTTACGGGGGAGTGCAGCTGACTGTTATGAAGACAGAGGAAAGCTAATTCTGCGATTAAAAAAGAAACTGCAAGTGGCCAGGTGTTACCTTGTCTCCGTCTTCTCCTGGGGGTCCCTGGGGTCCCACGACTCCTGGGAGACCCACCGGGCCCTGTGCCCCGTCCTGGCCAGCTGGACCCACAGGCCCCTTCTCACCCTGTGGGAACAGACCACGAACCAAAAACAGGACATCAGGATTGATCCATGGGAATATTATGATAGACTTCTATAATCAAAGTCAGCCATTATAAACTACAGTTTGTCATTTGACTGATGATCCTAGGCATCTTAAAGAGGCTAAAGAGCCAACGCTGAAGGACCTTCCAGCCTGAAATATAAGCAGGTCAATTGGAATGGCAGAGGCCAGTGATTACTCCTGAACGAGAGGGACTGTGATTTTTCTTTCCGCCACGAGAAACAGCTAAACCTCTTGCCGACAAGGAGGCACAGGGATCTGTGTTCTCCATCTGGCCTGTTCCAGAGACCTCAGCCTTCGCTAAGACAGATCACTCCACGTTTCAATTCAGAATGATTAAAAATTAAAGCCAATTAATAACTTCTAACCTTCTATATTTAGCAGGAAACCAACTTGCAATGACATCTCGCTCATTAATCTGTCTGGGTATGTCTTTCAGATTAACTGACTGCAATTAATAATAAATACAAATCTTGGATTCTAAATTTGACTGTTTTGTACTGTACATGTAAATAAACACATTAAAGCCACCTTACAGACTCTTATTTCTATATTATAATGAAAACACAGCATGATAATAAACAGGACTCTAAGGCAAAAGTGATACCTGCTGAAGTACTCTATACAGCTTCTAGCAAGGCGATCCCTCTCAATCTCCCCATATATACTGTAGTTGCCTGCAGTTCTGCGATACATCTACATCCAAGACGGCTTTGCTGAGCTGAAAGAGCCAGGCTCCAGCACCAGGGCTGTGGCCCCCTATGCAGCACAAGGTCACAGCACTGGGCAGGCAGGCAGGGTGGCAAGCAAGCCAGCAGCCTTCAGCTTTGCAAAGGAGAGGTGGAAGCAGAGGCAGAAACGTATTTCACTCATCCAGCTGTTTTTCGCTTCCCACTGGCGGTAAATTAGTGCTGGATTAAGCATTAGGGACTTTCCGCTGTGCTTGTTACTAGCTCTGCAGCTGCGAGGGGGAGCTGGAGCACCCAGAGCACAGTGAGGACTGCCACCCTCACCCTCACTCCCTCAGATCTCACTAATCAGAGCTCCTCAGTACTGTGTGGCACGACTCCAGGACGGGTTCAGTTTGCTCCCTGGAATGTGTAACCTGAATGTTCGCTCACTGCTGCAGTTTCAAGTTAAAAATGTACAGTACACCCTTGCTTTAACAGACTGACAGGTGGGAAGGGGTGTCTTTTACCGACAGATATCCATTAAATCAAACACAAGTGACGTTTTGTTAGCCCACAAAACTCTATTAGGCAAGAAACAATATATACAGTACTATATGAAAAACTGTTCCTGTGCCTTCTTATCATAAACATTCAAGCTTTTAATTTCATATCATAAATATACTGTATAAAACTTGCTAAAGCATACAAACCACCAACAACATCCATGTCAAGCGACTGACCTACAACTTATATTCATTTTCCTATATTTCACACCAAAGCAGTATTTATTTTTACTTTGTTTTACTGCAATAAAACCGATTTTCATCGCCATTGCGGAGAAAGTCAGCTATTTCGGACATAATTTTTCTTTAGCAGATATTGTCTGTTACATCCAAAGTTATGTTAAAGCCTAGTTCATTAAACCGAGGGTTTACTGTATCAATAAATCAATATATTCTGCATTTTTAACTTCTCTTAATCTTTCTTCCTGACCCAGAACACTCTTTGGTGCGGAAACTGACCCCTTCTAAGGAATTACAGGCTGACTGTATTGCCTGCATTGCCACCTAGTGCTAGCACACAGAACTATTCATAAAAAGTGAAAGTGCGTTTTTATCTCAGGTTTTCTCAACCCCAGTCTGCTCTTTGCCTGTAATAGTTTACAACAGTGGTACAGTAGCAAAGTAGGCTACAATGTTTGTGATCTAAACCAGCACACCGTGTCTGTTTTCTATTTATTATTTGATCAAAGACTTAGGGGAACTGCAACGCTATTTTTATATTTCAGGGTTGAAAGAAATCAGCACTGATGAGTGCATTTCAAACCACAATGAAAGTAAAATGCACACAGTCATGTGTAAAGCCTCCAATTTACATCACAAAAGAGACTAAACTTCTAGGTATGCGCAGCACCATATTGCTGTCATAGTCTGCGATTCACAATAAGGCAACAAAACTTCCAGTTATGTGAAGCAGCAATATTACATTGTAGAGACGGAGGCTTGTGAATTCATCTCTTTCAAACCGATAAAAATTCTGCTCTCGACTTTAAGATGGTTTTGCGGACAACTACTACTTACTTGTTAACTCTAACTTTGGAACGTGTCTGCTGCACAGCTTGTACTTATTTGCTCGTATATCACAGCACATTAGTCATTACAGTGTCTAGTGAGCGGGAAGGGCCGGTTTAAGTCACAATTCCTACAAACTCTCGCTCTCGCCCGTTGGGAGACCAGCAATTTGCGACAACATGGTGACCATACAGTACTTTCACAAAGTTCAGGATTTTGTGCTTGATTCAGAATTGTGTAATTTCTTCAATACCATCAATGAATTTATTTTGTTACTGAGATTTAATAACTGATCTGAGAAACTGGAACTGCCGTTCTCCTTTAAGGCAAACTATTCTCTTTTAACATCTCAAACAGGGGCATCCAGTCCTGATCCTCATGGGGTGACATTTATAAAGATCCCAGAAGAGCTAGGAGAAGCTGTTGGAATGGTCCAATTAAAATTCAGTAACCATCAGTTTTAACTTATTATGATCTGATTTGGAATGAAAACAAGCAGAAACATGATCCTTCCAAGGACAGGATTGGACACCCCTGATGTAAAATCTTTGAGATCGACATCATTGAAGATTCGGTAGAAAACAACTCTCATTGATCATGTATAGTTCAACAGGAGGGCAAGCACAGAACCATCGGTGCAGGAACAAAATACAGCATGGATTAATTCTGCAGCGCTCCACAACCACGCACTGGCATAATGTCAAGAGTGAAACACAAGCTAACCAAAGCCCAACCACCAGCTGGCTTGTTTCTGAAATTTCACTGACTGTTTCTATTTCTGTTTCAGCCTTTCAGAACAGAGCAGAGGATTTTACCCATCAGCAACGAGCGATCAAAAACGCAAATCCCACAATAATTCAGAAAAGGGAAATTGATCACAAAGCCTGTCATACAACCAAAATCTTTGACGCAAGATTAAGGGTAAACCCGAGGGGCTCGAGAGGGAACCCAAGTCTATTGATCACAGATTGGTTTCTGTTATTTGAAGAGAAAAAAGAATCCCGGTTATCAATAATTTCTAGTAAATCAAAAAGAATGCACATCTTTAAAGAACAAAAATGGTCTTCAGGAACCCTACTGACCCTGCAGTAGAAAGAGGATTCTTTACTAGCAGGGAAAAGAGAAAGTTGGCTGTGTGGCAGTATATCTCCCTTCTCCTGAAGGTATTTTCTGATTTTACTAACAAGCAGTAAGCGGCTTGACTCTGGCAGCCAATAGGCAGGCTGCTCGGACTCTTACCGGCTCTCCCTTCTCTCCCATTGGTCCAGGTGGGCCGACGTTGCCAGGACGACCAGGCTGGCCAATGGCACCCGCTGGTCCGGATGGTCCTCTCTCTCCTGGGGCTCCCTGTCCAGGAAGTGAGCAGCAGCACATGTGTCAAGATCTGCTCATCCAGTCCTTCTGCCTGTCTTCTCCTGTCCAGGGTCTCACTCCCTGGATCTGTCTCCATGCCATGTTGGCACCAGCTTTGTCAATATAAACCTCAGTTTGTTCATTATTAAAGGTCTGTTTTATCAGCTGATACACAGTATTACTGAAATACACTGTTTATTCACTTAACCAGTTATCCAAACTCCATGTTATTTTTCTCCCCATTGCAGAGACTGGCTTTCTGACATAAAAGCTGGACACATGTTGTGTGGCCCAGTAGCAAAGTTTGAGCTGACCGGGACTGTGACACAGAAGAAATAACCGGTACTTCTGCAGGTCAGAAATATTCTTTCCAACTAGTCATTTAAATGTACATTCTTTCCAAATCTGTCCCTTTTCCCCAATATGGCTGTTCAGGCTGTATCGAGATATAACAACAGCTCATCAGAAATGACAGACCTCTAGAGCTTAGGAAGGGGGAGAACACTGCTTGGCTCTCCAAAACTTAATGATAATAAATTACACACTCATTTCACAACTATACTGAAGTGCACTGTGACTTCTTATATCTTTATACCTCTTGCCCAGTTCCCCCAGAAGAACAGCAGCTCCTGAGCTGATATTTTTAGAGGAGGGTTGGTCAGGGGACTTCCTCTCTGGACAGTGTCTATCCATGTCAAACACCACCAGCTGGGTTGCTAGATTTCACTGTCTCCCCTAGATACAGCAGACCTCATTCAACACTTCACCACATCAAGTGCACTGCCGTCGTATAGCTTTCCCATGTTTCAGCATGCTTTAGCACATCTCGCTAAGCTTTCACTTCACTGTGCTTCTGCTACGTTTTCACTGCACTTCACTGCTCTCTAGCGTGTTTTCTACCAGGGTGGATTTTTATAAGGGAAGTCATCCTGGCACAAGGAAAACGAGCTATTGTGCAAGAGCTCATTGCTGGTGACAGTGATGGTCAGCACAATCCTCTTAAATAAATCATATGTTACCGGTATAACACGAAGGTGGGTCACAAAGCCTGCACAGCAGCAAGCAGACCGCTGTGCAAGGTTCAGCTTTGTTTCCCCTGTGGGAAAAAGAGGCGGACATGCAGGTTCCCCGACTCGCTCATGTCGGTAGTGTGAAGAACTGAAGACAGCCCCCACAAAGAGGCTCAGGGCTGGGCTAAGCCTGACTCAGGGGAAGAGGCTGAGCCCGTCTGGGGAGGCACAAGTCTGCAGTCTCCTTCACATCAGACGCGACACGGCGAGAGGGAAACCGGAAGAGCAGCTGCACTTACGACTGGACCCTGAGACCCCAGGGGACCCTCTGCTCCTTTCAGCCCTTGGGGACCCTAGAGAGAGGAAAGACAGCAATCACAGGAGAGCAGGCTCAATGAATCGCAGTGAGGGGCTGTGGTGACACGCCGGCACTGAAACCGAGGGGCCATGCAGACGGCACTCACTCTCCATCAAAGCCTCTTCGGCGTTTGTGTGTGTGAAGCACGGCGAGTCTGGCGGTGCAAGGCCCTCAGAAAACTAAGTGCCATCAGCTCTGAGTGGCAATCAGCGCTGGAACTGATACTAAGTGGTTTTACAGATGAGAAAGTGTAGGCCGGTTTAAAAACTCATTTTGCTTTTATTACGGTGGTGCGCTGCAGCTGCAGGCCTTGCAGCTCTTATTAGAACAATTTAAAAGCAATACCGTACAGGAGGGCGATGGCAAAAAAAAAAGTAACACCAAGCAGATGAAACAAACGAAGAAGCCAGCACTCTGGCATGTACAAAGCCCGATCATTTCTGAGCAAATCAAACTGTCTGGAGTCTTGCAGCTCTCTGCTTTGGAAGGTTACGGTAGTGGATGAACTACGAAACCCCAGATGCAGTTACCATGGCTCCAGGAATCCCTCTGCTGCCTCGGAATCCTCTCAGTCCTGCGGGGCCATTTTTCCCAGGAATGCCGGGAGGGCCAGGATCACCCTTGAGGAACAGAAATTTGGAGCAGTGGTTAGGGCTCTGGACTTCTAACTAGAGGGCTGCGAGTGTAAATCCTCAGCAGGGCACTGATGTTGTGCCTTTAGAAAGCCACTTGACTTGGTAAAACACCCCATGAGAGCTGTGCAAGTGGGTCAAAATCTACACTGCTTTGCTCAAAAGCATCAGCCAAACTTGAATGAATAAGAAAAACGTCTTAGGTTTAGATTGCAACCACAACAGTAATGTACAGTATGTACAGTCCTGAGGCAGGCATACAAGTGTGCTTAATACATTGAACCCCAATTTCTCCCTCTCCTCTCACCTTGGCGCCCTCTTTGCCAGCTGACCCTGGTAAACCCTGTTCTCCAGGAGGGCCAGGTGACCCTGGGTGCCCTCTGTCTCCCATGGGACCGGTCTCTCCTGATTTACCCTGAAAGGCACAAAGAGCATTGTTGGCAGGACACAACACAGCACGCTCCCCATCCCCACCACGGGCCTGTAGACCCCGTCACGCCAACAGCCTCCGCCTTTAATGGAATCGCATCTCTGCATTACCCGTGGTGTGCAGTGTGTTTATTAGGAGGAAAAGGAGGTAAAACCCTCACATAAAAGGTCTTAAATTCATCCCAAGAGCAATCTTCACTGGAATCCAATAAACTCCACCTAAATCCCCTCCGAGCAGCACTATTGTCTTGGCATGCTACAGATAAGAGAGAGAGCTGTCATTATTTGCTTGTTTGTGCATGGTTCCTTGACATAATCCCTTGTCAGTCTCACCCTCCACACTCTGTGCGGAGCAGCAGCTCTTCCGTTTCTGCATTTTAACTCCCGAGATAAAGTGGAACTGTACCAGCGAGGTACTTAAAACAAACCCTAAAGCCGCACAATGTGTGTCGGCAGGTGGGGTACAGCTGCTTAATGGCATTATAAACATAGATCACAGCAAGCATGTCCTATATTGGCACTGGCAAATGAACCAGCAGACTGTCAATGTTTTTTTTTTCTTTGCTGCAGAGCAAAATTTGCTGCTTAAAGTTGCAAATCTGGACAGTCCACTTTAGGTGCTGCTTGCTAGTGTTTTGTGCACTTCCAATGAATGAAGCAGCAGCCCATTCTCTGTATTCTCAAGCAGTATCCTTCCTCAGAGAGTGCTTTATACAGCATTAGCCTTCAGTTAGCAAACTCAGCAAACAAAGAGTATAATCCTAAAGCAAAGAGTCCTCCTAATCCCAGACCAAACAAATGAGAGTGCCTTTGCAAATTAACATTAGAAACCTAGCTATGGCTGACCCTGGGGAATAATCCTGATTGGATGTGGAATTTGTCTCTTCTGGATGTTGCGCCAAACTCAAAGAAACTTGTTCCAGCAAAGAAGTTTATTTTCCAGGCCAAACTGGAGGCTTGGACTGTCCACTACTGACCCGACGACTGCTCACGGAGAGATGGCTTTGCCGTCTCTTCACCCAGACCCACTAAGATGTAACTTGTACTAAACTTTTCAACAAAACTAGAGAGGTGAAGTGTTTGAGTACATTACATTTTAAGCACTCTCCAATTAACTTCAACAAAATGCACAGTATTATAGCAGTTTTTTGGGTAACCTGTTTTTTGGGTAACCTGTTTTGGTGTGATAAACATAGCCAAGGGGCTCCTCGACACTAAAAGTTCTTGTTCAGCACAGTTCGAGTCCCACGACCAAGACATCTCTGGATCGAAGCTGGGTCATGTGACAAGCTGACTGTGGGAGGACTGCAGGACTGCCCAAGCAGCAGCTCTCAGGAGGTTTCCTCCAGGTGCGCTGGTTTCCTCTCACAGTCCAAAGACATGCTGGTTGGTTAACTGGCATCTGGAAAAACTGCCCTGGTGTGTGTGTGTTTGTGTTTATGTTGTCTGTCCTGCAATGGACTGGCATCCCATCCAGGGTGTATCCCACCTTGCTCCAGGTACTTGCTGGGATAGGCTGCAGCTCCCCCGTGATGCTGAATTAGATAGTGTTTAGAGAATGGATGGATGAAACTCATGATTATAAGTAAAAATGTTAAGGACAAGACATTTAAATATACTCTGTCCCTGAGGACATGCCTACAAAAAGGCCCCGTGCAGAGCAGGTGCATTAATTCCAGGGAGACTCTCACCTGCGGTCCCACCACTCCAGTAGGTCCGGGCGGACCCGTCTTCCCTTGGAAACCCTGGAGGAGAACAAAGAACACATGAGCTCACAAACCGAGGATCTGATCTCACCCTCGGTGTCAGTCATGGGCATCACTGCATCCCCTCTGCTGGGAAACGACAAATAAAAACCAGTGGCCCAATTTCATTCTCGTATCTAGACCCTCAAAAAATCTAGCCCTCTAGCCGTGCACTCCTGCAAATACCAGTGCTTGAGCCCCAGAGTCAACAGATTGATTGATTAAGAGACGTGTCCTGTGACACAACCTTCTATACTCATCCAGATGCATGCTTGTACACCACTAAGCATACACACAACTATCAGACATGAGTATCTTTACACTTACGTACAATTCTGTCCAGGTTTTAACCATTTTTGAAAGCAGGGACAAGAAGGGCTTGAGATGGGAAAACCTGGAGAAAGGAGCTAATATGCTAACATGTTTATTTCCTGTGGCCATGCGTCTATTTGTGCACGGAGGTCCCTGCTTGCTATGCTTGTCCACTATTGTTTTTCTCCACCCGTGGGGTGGCTCCCCCCGTCAACAGGATGACTCACCGGCTCCCCCCTCTGGCCTGGATGTCCTGGCAGCCCGTCCTTCCCTGCGGGTCCCTGATCAACATTAAAAACCACATGAGCATTCATCTGCGCTCATCAGTAGTTTTTCAAAAAAACATTGAGAGGCATTTTCACTGCAAAGTAGTGAGAAATCATTTTGCATACATGTTTTTCATTATGAAAAAATAATCACATCATTTTTACACAGTGTGTCACTCTCCTTAATAACCCGGGTGAGCTGAATTGTAGATGCTGCAGGCTTGCAGTTTTGGATACGTATGGATGCTGTTGCTTTTGTTTCTGGCGAACATCTGCACGTAACAAGCCCATACATATTCTAATACATGAATAAAAAGCATATTTTTTTTAAAGTTCGCTAAAGATCTCTCGTTGAGACAGTCTGCAAAGCTGATGAGTGAACACAGACAATGGACCTTGTTTTGAGTCTTGTTTTGGGACAGCAGCTCACACTAAGAAGCAGCAAGGAGGTGGGGAAATTCCCCAAGCACTGATCAAAACGAGAAGGCACAAGCCAATACTTGGTACAGATACTGTGCCAAAACATGAGAAAGGCTTACTTACATTCGGTCCTTTGGTTCCAGCTTCTCCATTGCGCCCTTGAGGTCCTTGTGGTCCCTTTCAAATGGAGAGCTAGTTAACACACAGTTCACAGGCTCATGTCACCCCATCAAGATGGCATCAGCCTGCCTGCACCCAGAACCTCCCCCAACAGCACCCCACTGTGGAACTGGGGAGAACAGAAGCATTTGGTGTCTTCAGAGGTGCACTGTATAAACTCACAGCAGAATCATCCCATTATACAACACCCCCACCCAACTGCGATATCAGCCTTCAGCACAAGTGTCTTTGCAGGGCCAAGATCTACCAGGCAGCACTGCGTTTCCATCCGTTTTGTGCTAGGCATTTTGTTATGTGCGTGTAATTTCAGGGTAAATACAGCAGAGCGCTGATTGACCATAACTGATAAGCTACCCTTACCCTCTCCCCTGGAGATCCAGGTGGTCCATCATGAGCAGAGGAGCCCTGTATAAGGCAAAACCAGAAAGGTCAGAGCCCAGAAAGGTCACACAATCTCACCCACGCCGGCTCCATTTATTAAAGAACACAGCATCTATTTTGGTACAGAGTCTCTCTCACCTTGGGCCCAGATTTTCCGGTGGGACCTCTCTGTCCTCGGCTCCCTCTGGCTCCCTGGAGGGAAAATGGAAAAGGTCGCACCTAAATGCAAGAGACTGTCCTCGACTGCCCGTCTCTCTCTGAGCTATGAATGGATTTCTGACAGTTTCAGCGTCACTTTCGTTTCAGAGACAGGACTGCCATGGCTGAATAAGGGAGGGTTTTCCAGCCCAAACCCTTCTGTTCACTGTTAACCCATCCCTTCCATCTCCCCTGTAAATATTAGCTGTCACAAAGAATTAAGATAAAACAGATGGGACCCCCTTAGTTGTCACACTATAGCAGGGAGCCCCAAAGTTCTTCCCTCAAGTGACAGTGCAGCTGATATCACAGGTCTCCTTAAAACATCCAAGCACAAGACCACAGGAAGAGGGCTTAATTATTGTAATTAAGACTGTAAACGGATCAATTTCATCCCCCTGTACTGGTATGAAGCAGCTGATGACTCTATGCAACCTAAACAACCTTCTGGACTACACCTCTCAAGGACTGGATGCAGAGTACCCTACACCGGCCTGTGGCAGGAGATAATCAAATAGCATGTCTCCAAAAGTGTTATGTCCTCCCACTCAGGACAGCCTGTGCATCTCTCCTGGCTCTGGAAACTTATTTTATTACAGAGAATCAGTAGAAATTAAATTAAGCTGCTGACATCACACCGACCAATTCAAAAATAATGGCACACAACACATTTATAATTTAATTTACCCATGTACATGACAATATGTCCTATGCTTCTTATCTCATCATGAGCTCCCTTGAAGAGTCCACCACCTAGTCTTTAAGACAGTCAGAAATCTGCACTTACTGTGGGACCTCTCTGTCCACCAGACCCAGGCTGACCAGCAGGACCCTAAAACAAAAGTGGAGAGTTAGCAGCCAACCAGCAGACCGCAGTCCCACAGAGCACTCCAAGCACCCTCTTCAGGAAGAGGAGGGCCAAGCTGCCCTACGGCTACTCATGTGAACCCCTCCATAACAGTGCTGGAGCAAGAGGGTGAGCGGCTTTCTGGGACAGGAGTAGGGAACGGTGGGAACACAGCTGCCAGGTCTGCAAGATGCCCACACACAACTACAGCCAGTCCGAACTCGCTGAAAAACTACATTCCACAGAGGTCCTTCCAACTCCATTGTTTCTCCATGGACTTGGCCTGGCAGTACGCCCGGCCTCCTGGCATGATAGTCCTGGTTGAGAGAGGCTGCCTGAGCAGTCCCTGACACCCTTCGGGGCCTTGCAGACACAAAGGAGAGGAGTCCCTTTGGACCCTCAAGCCTGTTCGGAAGCTGGGAGTCTTGCCTGTCGGGAACTGGAGGAAACCTGTTCGCAGTGTGAAAAAAGCACATGTCAAGACAAGACAAACCACTTCGCTTTTTCACCCACTTACCCTTTTCCCCTTTTCTCCTGGAACCCCCCCGGGACCAGGGAACCCCAGCGATCCCTGAAACAGAAGAGAGACGTGCTGTGGGGCCGAATCGTGTCACACTACAGCGATGCCACTTGCTTTGTTGATTTTTAACAAAGCCAAGTCTTCATCACGGGGAAAAAACTGCAAGATCTTTCAAAAGTCACGACAGGCCTCTTTTATTTGGCAATAATAGAGTACAGGGCTCCAGACAGCTGCTGCGATTACTTTACATTGCAACAGAAGAGAAACAATCCATGCAGCAATTCCCAAAGGATAACAATTCCTCAAAAGTGCATAGAGTGAGGCCGTGTCACATGAAGATGGTAAAGTTCATTTTAAAAAAGCAAGGGATCCAACTGGCGATATTAAGAAGATTCTGATCTCCTTCTTGGACTGAGAGCTGACCTCCCTGCGTCGGGGGCGGCCACGCTGGGAGGGGGAAAGACAAGCAATCAGGCAGCGCTGCTCTGTGGTAAGGCTACAGGAAGTGATGACATGCCCTCACCTTCGGCCCCTGCCGCCCAGGGTAGCCCGGCAGGCCCGGCACTCCCAGCTTGCCCTGGAAAAAAGAGAACAAAGGAAGAGCACCTCATCTACAAGATGAAGACGCAGGGTTTTACCCACACTGCTGTGTGCTACTGTAACAGAGGGTGTTTTTGGTCCAATGGTATGACGTACTGAACAAACATTCACACCAAACCCCCTCAGACTCCCCATCCCACTCCAAAGTCATGGAGTCATGGAGCTGATGCCATATAACTGAAGTGTCACCTTCCTGCAGGGGTCAGTGTGTTACCTTCTCTCCTGGGGACCCCATAGGTCCAGACTCTCCGTTGGGCCCCGACTGGCCCTTAGGTCCCTCTGTTCCATCTTCGCCCCGGGGCCCCAGCGCACCCATGTCACCCTGTAGGAAGACAAGGGTATAGCCAATGAGGGAAACTCAGATGCCATCGGCCACATTCTGCCCTTTTGCCAATTTAATGAATTAGTCAGCAGTACAGACAAAGATGTTGCATGAAGATCAAGACAGCTCTTTCCTGCTGGCATATGCATTTGACCTTGGTCCCCGTTGTGACTCGGAGCATGACCTCCAAGTAACCCCGACACGCGCCCACATGACCCACATTGTTTGGGACTGTATGTTACAACGGGTGTCTTACTCTGTCTCCCTTCAGGCCCATGTCACCTTTGAACCCAGGGAACCCGTCTTCACCCTGCAGGACACAAGAACATTTAAACATGAGAAGAGTCAGAGAGGGCTGAAACTCCCGGGAGAGCAGAATTCCATTCTTTGGTGCTTAACTTCAAATGTCATATGGAAGATAATTATGTTTTCACGGTTCTTCCTCACTTCCTCTTACCTTCTCTCCTTTGTTGCCCTTCAGACCTCTAACTCCATCAGCACCCTGGACAGCGAACAAATAGACAGGTCAGCACAGAGAGACAGTGCATTTAACAGTTCAGCACCAGCCCGCACAGAGAGAGACAGAGAGGCAGCAACTTGAGGAAATAATCCCATGGATCCTGGGCCTTTGTGAAAGCAAGGTATTGCCAGGTGAAAGGAAAGTACTTTAATCAGTCAAGCAATCAATCACTCAGTCAATTAAACGAATCAATTACTTCTTCAAAAACAGTCTGCAGTAAATCATGCCAGCATAGCAAGATCACCACACATAACTGCAACAGAGATAATTCAACTTAGAATAGTACAATAAAGTACTATGACAATGAACCCTGTGAAAGGGTTCGTTTAAAAAAATGGGAGAATTGAAAGAAAAGAAGAACAATAAGGACTCAACCTTTTTGTATAAGCAGCTGATCTGTACTGCTGGTTACTATGAGGGCAAAGACAGTGCAGCCAGAAACTGTAGCAGAGGGATTGAGCGCTGTGTGGCCAGGTTCAGTGACTCTAGTGACATGCAGCACGCCAGACCCTTTTCAAGCACACCAGCCCCTCTACCCCTGTATTCCATGGAGAATGCATGACATGCTGTGATTCAATATGGCATTAAATCTGCACATCACCCCTCTCTGCAGGGATCAGAGAGCGCGTTACAGAGAAATTTAAAAATTCATAAAAGCTAATTGACTTGAAAGCCATCTGAAAATTGCTCTCCTTGTCTGGTTCAGTGGGCCCCAGAGAGACATGCAAATCCCAAATTCAGTACTGAAAAGCATCAGATGATTTGATTTGAATTTAAAATATGTGCAAATGTAACTTTTTTTGAAAACCCAGTTAGAACACCTTTGTCTGTTTTTTTTTGTCCCACTACCCAGGAATCTAATTAACGGGAATCAAAATCAAAGTTCCTCAGCAGACTGGGTGCTCCAGAACAGCGAGAAGCTGCAAAAATTTGCGTGAAGCTAAAAAGCGATTCTTCTCAAATGAGAACAAACGGGGGAAAAAAATTGTTTGATTCCGTTTTGTTTCTCAGTCACACCGCTTTTGTAATAGACGGTAAATGGACCATTCCAATAGCTCAAAACCCAGGAGGGGTCAGGAAATTAACTCAGATTAATCTCATCACAGACCCTTGCAGACCCACACCTCATAAATTTGGAGAAATTGCTTTGCACATTAAAGACATGTCCTACAAGACTTGATCTCTGTTTTTGATGACTTGATACAAATTAGTTGGAGTCACTTCTTCAAGGCCAATAGGTAATTTTTTATTATTATTATTAGTCAGGAAAAATGCTGTAATACAGGCTGATCTCTGTATTACAAATTCAGTGCTATTTGAGCTACAAGCACTTTGACATCCAAGTGTCAGGTGCCCTTTTTCGGAGCCCAGACAGATCCTCTCACCTTAACACCACGGGTTCCAGGATAGCCAACGGGACCCTGTGCGCCTGGTGGACCCTGCTCAGACAACAGGAAACCGGAAAGAGAGGTTAAAGGTCAAGGGAAAAGACGAGCTGTGTGGAGCCCATTTTTCCCTCCAAAAAGGAAAAGGAAGATTTTGTGTTGCACAGTTACTCCTGGCATGTCTATTGATTTATCTATTACTTATTAATCTGTCCACAGATCGTTTCAATATCTGCTATATACCCTTCTATTCCAGTTTAGAGAGTACCCAAGCTAGACACAAACACAAGAGGAAGGCTAGACAAACCATTGATAATCAATAGCCAATAATCCTGCATTTAAACCTTTCATATAGTCAAGTTCCCATAGACGTAAGAAAGAATAAATCAATGTGTGGAAAAGACTTCACCTGAATTCCCTTTTCTCCTGGTGGACCTTCCCTTCCAGGATGACCCTGTGAACAGGATGAAAAAACCACTTCCATGACCTCACTGCACCAAGGTGGAACAAGACTGTCAACCTCCTCAACCAATCAGATCAGAGTTGACTGCTGTGCTGCTACAGTATGGAATTCTGGGAAATATGACAGTATGCTCCTACCCATATTCAATACAAGGCATTATAGCAATGGGATGGATTAATGGATTCATTCGCATTAACTGCATTCAATAACAGAATGAACTGTTAATATTCTTGTCTTCTTGCTCCTTGTTTTCTGAAGATAGCTTTTCATTTTTATGAGGTGCAAATCTAGCAAAAGCCAGTGCCGTTATCACTTTTTAAAAGGAGTTTCTTTTGGATTTTCAATGCATGGAACTTGGAAATATAAATTACATTATATTGTGGTAGAAGTTAGCATTGCTGCGGTCCTCAGCTCAATTATAGACCAGTGGTGCTAACTGCATGGAGTTTGTGTGTTCACATGGGCCTGTGGGAAAAGTGGTCTTGACGTGAATGTATCTGTGTGTACCCTGCGATTGACTGGCATCTTGTCCAGGGTGTACCCTGCCTTGGAAATTGGAATTTTATTAAACATTTTTATAAATTAGAGTAGCAGAAAGCAGAGAAAAGCAAGAAGACTAGAAAATCATATTGTAATTGTTTTCCATTTTTCCCTTGCACTAACTACACCTTTTCAGAATGTCCCAGCATTTGCTGTTGATCCCAGTGTTATACCAGATACTCACCGGAGGGCCATCCATTCCAGGGAGCCCCTGGAGCCCCTGTTTCCCCTGAGGACCCTGTTAATAAAAAAACAATTATTAGTGCTGGCCCCTTACGCAGTGATAACAGAAACACTGGTCTCCACCAACTCTAATCTGTGTGTGTGCTGACCAGATGAGCTCATTAAGATGGGCCACTGTGCTCACTTTAGTTCTTCAGCATTGATAAGGCTTGTAATAGCACATATTTAATCTCACAGCAGGGCATAATCGGTTCCACTGCACCTGTGATAAGACAGCCAAGCTGTCAGTTCTGGCCAGTACTCATATGCAGTTTGCTGTTACTGTTGCAGAACAAATAGAGAGGCAGGTCATTTTTAACATTTACGGGCCTATAAGCCTAGTCATAAAACAACCAAAAATATTAATAATAGAATCTGCAACTGGAAAGCAACCGGAAAGCAAGACAAAGATGGAATTCAAGCACCAAAAAGAAAACAACTGTGTGCACTACCTTGGCAAGTGATTGCTTTAAAGAACAACAAAGAAGTCTGCCTGATGAACCAGACTGTGACCATGCTGAAGGACAGCGCTCACCTTTTCCCCTGGCAGCCCTATAGGACCCTGAGGCCCAGGCAGACCCTAAGAAAGACAAGAAATTCAGGTGCTGTAACATACAGAGCAAAACAAGACCAGATGCCCAAACACTGCTGTGATGCAGGTCGCTGGGAGCCTGGGCTTGCTCACCCCCCAGCCTGTTTACAAGGGGAGCTGAACAACATTAGGATTCCAGTACCTCCCAGACACTCCCAGAAAGACAAACGACAAAAGACATGAAAGTGACCTAACTTAACAGTTAACATCAGACACGCTGCATTAGACTTCTAACAGGTTTGAATTGCTGCACAGTTTCACAGTTTGTACAGCCTGATGGGCTACACTGATGATATACGTTTAGTGTAAGACAGCCTAGACCGTTACAGTAGGTCTCAGGTGATAATGGTAGGGAAGCTGATGTTGAGTTAGGGTTGGCCGTACCTGAAGTCCTGGGTTACCCTGCTGGCCGGGTGGGCCTGCCTCACCTGGAGGACCCTGAGGAGAAAATTGTTTTAAAGAAAATTAAAACCCATAAAATTTTCCCCCATCCACGTTTTGTCAGAAAGCTGCTTTTCATGGGGAACATTGCAGCACGACTGAACTTATTCCAGAAGGCTGCATTAAGAGCTCACACCTGCCTAGAGTCCACAGTCTCACCGGGATAGAGAGCCTTTGCATTTCTGCGAAAACCATAGCACCTGGAGAACAACCACACAAAAACAAAAAAATCCACACTGGCAGGTTTCCCAGCTGGATTCAAACTCAGGAGCCTGGAGCTGGAGGCGGCAGTGCTAAACCCACACCCACATGCAGCCCATAGCGTTTCCCTGATGAATGAAAGACAATTACTGGCAAAACACCAGGCTTTTAAATCCAATGAGCAAAGACACACTGGACGTTAAAACAAAGAATGAAAGAACTACAATAACTACATCAATAAAACACCTACCAAGTTTCCTTTGGAACCCTGAACCCCATCAATTCCTCGGATACCCTGTGGCAAAAAAAAGTTGGAAATGAAAAGGTTGTGTGGCAGAGTGAGAGAGAGCAACAGGCTCTCACACTTGTTCAGCTCAGTTTTTTTCAGCGAGTAAACCCACAGAGTTCTAGTTTCCTTTTTCCTGGCAACATTAGGAATCAGTCTCCTGGTATCTGATCTTAAAGCTAAATCCATGTAAATAATATAAAACACCTCTAACAGCTGAACGTTTCCCTTAATTAACATTTGTAATATTGTAATATTGTGGATTGTGTGAAACACATGCTGTGCTGATCCTTCTAGGAAACCCAGGAGAATCAGATGTGTTCGGTCAATCAATGAAACACAGTGGCGCTGATGTCATACCGGTTGTCCAGGGGGTCCTGGGGGTCCCCTCGGCCCAACCAGCCCACGGGAGCCCTGTAAAACACAGGAGAGTCACAATCAGAGTTCGTGAGCAGCGAGGCAGTGGCTATTGGGAAACACTTCAGCACCTCGTCCTGCACCATGTGAACATACAGCACACAGCAACCTGTTCCTTTTCTTAACCTGTTAATGAGCCCTTCACTAAATACATCTGTAGACATGTGCACATATATAATTAAAACATACATATCTAGGTGTGTTTAATGTATGTTTGTAGGCACAGAAGCATATTAACATGCACAGGACATCACTGTTTTTAAATTCTTATTTGAAGTGCTTAAATGGCTGTTAGCATGCTAACATGTGGGCTATTTCTGTATTACAGACAACAGGACAAGTAAACCATAATAGCAAACCAGTAACGGAAATACTGCAGGACCTTAAGAAAACAGCAGTAGCGATCAACTCAACATTTCTCCAAGACATCTTTACTTCCTGTGCCTTGTAAATGACAAAATGTATTAAAATGTCCTCTTTGTTACCTTACCATTTATAAAATGTTTTTTTCTTTATATTGCCTTGGAAAAGCCAGATACATAACAAGAAAATACTGTGCATGTGGGACTCGCAGCTTAGAAAGCGGTTCTTCTTGTGCCTATATGTGATGTCTTTAAGAAGCACACCCGCAAAAGGATTTTTTAACAATACTGCAAATCAGATGCACCTGTTTACGTCAGTTCCCCCCAGACCGAGGTCCCGGTGCTGGGTTTAAAACAAAAGCTGTAGTCTTGAGTCTTTTTAAACAACCTGCCAGAGGGCAGAAGAGGTTCCTTCTCCCAGTATGTTTTGAAATGTACATGCCTTTTAGAAACCAGGATTCGTGGGATTGATCCTTATAATCTTCCCAGTGTAAAAGAACACACATTATCCAGTGGATACTGATGTTACTGTCCATCACAAACCTACAGTGAAATTTACCTTTTGTAAAAGCAACTTCAGGTGGGGTGTTAACAGTGCTCATTTATACTTAAAACAACAACAAAAAACTGCTTTTAGCAAAGATATCTGCTCATTTCTAAAATCACTATGACCCTCGGACTTAACAGTTAACAGAAAAATTAACAGTTGAAAAACCTGACCTGACCTGGTTTCATTCCTGACCTGCCTAGTATGTGACATTTCAGGAATACACAAAATTCAGGGATAACCCTATCAGAAACAGACACTGTACCATGTGTGGGAGTCTCTTATATAGTCCTAAAGCATATGCAATGATCACTTCTAAACACCCACTCATGGTAATCACAGAGAGTGACTGGAGCTGTAATCAGACTATAAAACATCCTTCAGAACTGCTTGAACTCAGAGCACCACAGGAGATGCATCTTGTGTGTGTTCTCTGGAAACTGCCCTTTCCCATTAAAATTAAACCTCATTTCAAGCCTTCACTTGACTGTGCTGTGACCTCTGGCATCTCTTACACAGTGACCTTCACAGTCAACAATGAAACTGTGATTTAGGTGGGAACATTAATACAGGGCTGTCTATGGTTTCTGAACATCAACAGCTTTTGTTGGCATCTTGGGCTGTATGTCCTGTCATGGACTGGGGGAGTACTGTGCTCAAGAGGACAACAGTAGCACCCTCACCCAGGATCTTAACCTCCAGTTACAACAAGCCCAGAGCCTTAACCACTGTTGTACACAGGTGCTCTCCGAGTCGAGTGGATTCTGACCCCTTTAGGGGAGACAGGGTAAGACAAAAGGGGAAAGGTGTGAAACTAGCAGATCTTGCAGATCCTGGGGCTGAAATCGGGCTCCCCTTTACAATTGAGACAATCGCAGGCCGCAGCAACTACTGGCCCATTCCTCCGCCCGCCCGCAGACGACCTCTCCCCATCACAGATGAGCCCCGCGAGACGAGAGTCTCTGTCCTCCTGCCAAGACACCTGTTCACCGGCCACATCTGCGTTCGGCAGGGAGACCACCGACGTGGAAATCACAGTACGGCTCGCTGAAAATAAAAAACCTGTCCACACTCTGCCTAGGCAATTTGACATTCACCCCATTTCTCAAGCTCGAGGTGAAAAAAACAACTAAAAACCAATTTACAAATCACTACATGAAGTGCACTCGTCTCCAATACATCTGTCTCCCAGACACCTCCCTCCACTTTCCCCACACACCTAGAATTCTACAAATATTCAACAGCAGAAGCAGATTAAGGAAACAGAATGCTTCTGACTTGAGACGGGATTCTTCAAATGCACAACAAAGCTTTTATTACCTCCGGAGATAAGAGGAGAAAAATCACTACCAACGTCCGCTCGAATTAATAAAAGTCTCTTTCGATTTTTATTAAAAGGGAGTGACTCAGACTTGTGTAATGTACTGGTTTTGCTCGCTGCGCTCTACAGCCCTGTATTGCAGGCTAATTCTGTGAGAGGATTAGTAACACAATCATATTTCGATGAAACGAGCCGAGCCTGCAGACATCACATATTGAACTCCCTTCGCTTGGCCCGTGGAGGACAAGCCAGGAACAGAATGACAGGAAGCCACTAGGCTGGGCTTTTAATCTTCTTGACCTACCAGTGGATCTCAATATGGAATTAAAATTTGGAGTGGATAAAGAGGCTATACTCATCTGGAAAAATGGAAATGAGGTGGGGGAAACGGTGGCCACCCCTGTGAAAAGCTGCCACTGGCTTCAACTCTGTGGCACCAGCGTGTGCACGTAACTGGTGTCGCAAGCACTGGTTCTCACCTGTACCTGCGGGGGGCAGCTGTGGCCTCCGGGTCAAGGGAGGTGGCCACACCCGGGCTGTGGCATCACACACTCTGGTTTTTTTACCATTTTAAACCTTTCCCTGTCAATTTCTGCAAACTACAAGGCTTCTGCTGCAGAGCGACATTAATTTACTTGATTCTCTGTTTACGCATCATGGGATTGCAACAGCTAGCCCAGACAACCATAGCTTTTCAACACGCAGGGATGGAAGCAGCGCCACCCAGAGGAAGCGGTTCTCGCCAATGTTAATAAATGCAAATTCTAGCCCCCGGTTTCGATGTGTTCTGGCCAGGAATTCCGCCGCTCGACAGCAGAATGCAGATGGCAACATGGAAGGGATGTCCAAAACAAGAGGAGCACAGAACTGGAAGACATGCAAATCCTGGCACCTCTATTATCGGGTCATCAATTCTTAATACGGGGGCCTGTCTGTGCTGCAATGAATTAAACACTGTTGTGACTGCATCCCAGTGCTCTGTGTCTGCTGCCAGCTTGGGCTCCATGAGAGACGTCCCCTCTCCCTGCCAGTGACTGGCTGCTGGTCATGTGTCTCGTGTGCAGTCAGCCCTGTGTGCAGCGCTGATACGAGGCACAGGCTGCGCTGTACGCGTCCAGGACATCATGATGAAGTCCTCTATGCACCGTTATTCATTTAAATTCTACGCCAAACGCCAAGAGCATTTCTTTTTCCCCACCCTGTGACTTGTCAGCTTGCAAACACAAAAGGAGGAGGATCAGATGCCCACTGTGAACTGATATTGGATTCTTTCTTTCTTTTTTAAACCAATGTGTTCCCACGGCAGATGCACACAAGTCTCACTCACAGGCTCGCCAGGCAGCCCTCTGGGTCCAGATGGGCCGTCCGATCCCTGCAACACAAGAAGAGCGGAAATGTTGAATCTGTGCCAGCCAGGGCCAGCACACAGCTAATACTATACATGTTACTCACAAGCCTCACAAGCCTCACAGGCCTCACAGGCCTCACCAGGCTCTGCAGCAGCATCACTGTCTTTCATATTACTGAGAGGTGTTTCCATCCAAATGACCAAATATGCCAACTCAGGCATGAGTGTGACCCGGATATTCTAACAGGGTATCTCACAGCATGTAAATAACTAGGCTCACTTAATCACATGAACCTCTTCTCCTTGCTGTATACCGTTTGTTTTGCTTTGTTCCAGTGCTGCTCACAGCTGCTTCATACATCTCCATAAACATTTTCTCTGACAAAAGTCCACTTTCAAAAGTTTCTTCAGACAATGCAGGGGTATTTGTGACCTTGTGATGTCGTACAAATCGCAATGTCATACTTGCTCACTGCTCCATCCATTAGTAGAAAGAACTGCGTTGCATGGGTAAAGACATCACCTTCATCGTTCTGATGTACAAGTAAGTACCAGTATAAGTGTCTTCCTCAGTGAGCTGGCTTTGGTCTGCAAGACTAACAGTGAACTTCTTACCTTCTCCCCCGGGTCTCCTGGTGGTCCCACTGGTCCGGGCTTCCCCCGGTCCCCCTGACAGAAACAGGCACAGCCCATCAGTTCCAGCACACAGGGCCGCACACGTCCCATTAATCGCCCGGTGGCCTGCGACAGCCACCGACTCGCTCTTTCTCACCAGACACGGTGGAGGAACTCTCTTTTAAAAAGCTGAGGGCCTGCCTTGTTGTTGAATTACTATGGCAGATTACTGGAGACGTTTACAAGGCTTCTGCTGTGCTGTGACAAATTGACACGGCGCTCCCAGCAAGCAGAGAACAATCTCTGCTCGTTACCCTCCAATGCGGAAGGATCGCAGCTGAGTGGGGCTCTCCGCTGTGACCTCCGGAACTTCACACCTTTCCAGCACTACTTCTTCACTCTTACTTTCATTCTCTCTTTAGGCCACAACAGGGCAACCCAAAACAGGCTCAGACAACTCACTGAATAAAACCTCATTGTTTACAACGTATATGAACAGTTTAAAAGCTCCAATTAAGAGAAGGACTGCTTTAATTAAAGAGTCAATTAAGTAATTGAGAGAACATGAATAGCAGTAGACTCTGTATGAACCTAAGCCAAGTCTACAACATTGACATCCTGCTAAATTCCTTACCCAACATTACTTTATTCGCCCACTGTACTACTTCTAAAGCAGCATCTGGTTCAAAGAGGACCAAATAGAGTGGAAGAAAACATCCTTAATGATGTGCAGCTTACATTTTGAGAACAACCGCCTAGGTGAGCGTGCTGTTTCTGCACACACAGAAGATACAGCACTATTACTGGTTCCTGCATTCTAACAGACTGGTTCACGCTGTCCTTGTTCCAAAAGCGCGGACTTAACGCCTGAACTACAGCACATGGTTTAAAACAGCCAGTGCGTCACAGAAGATGAGAGAAGAGCTTCTTCATGTGCTCCTCTGAAGAGTAAAGAAGAGGCTCAATAATGGGGAAAAAGACTTTAATGAATGGTGCCCCTGGGGTTAATTACAAATGCTTTCATGCTGCCTCCGGGGCCTTGGCCTCAGCAGGGTACGCTTTGTAATTTACACCACGCGGAGTAACAAGGGGGCCTTCTCTCAACTCACCCTGTGACCTTTATCCCCCGGGAGCCCAGGCAGTCCATCAAAACCTCTGTCCCCCTGCAAAAAAGCAAAAGTAAACAGCATGGGCATCAATAAAACCCCCAGACACACCCCCATCAACTCATGAACACTCACTGTGCCACCTCCAGCCCTGTCTCAGCGCAACGGGAAACTCCAGCACTTATTAGAACAGGAGTCGGCTTGAAAACGATCACTGTCTCTCTCCCTCTCTTCCCTTAATCAAGCTCACAGAAGGACTCCTGCATTCTGATAATGCACTGCAGATAAGAGCACAGATTCCTGGCGGTGCTTCAGATCTGTATTTAAAAATAGACTGACACAAACAGAAATGCACAAACTCCTAGAATCAGGCGTAATGAGAAGTTAGGAGGCTGGCCAACGAGCAAGGCCCCCCACAGAAAAGGAACAAGCAGGGGAAGAGTCAGGAATCTGGTAGGATTTGAGGACTGGGAGGGAGAGATGAAGAGGAGACGAAATACTGCAAATGGCAATGTATGGCCTGGAACCACAAGGGAGGTATGTGTTGGTTTTGAAAAAAAATGCAGACATATCAAGTGAGTTTAAGGGGGACCTCTGCTGCTCAAAGGAGTGAGGAAGCAGATCAATAGAAACAAAGAGGGAGAGATAGAGTGTGACCTGGCTGGGGGGTAAGAGCGAGGGAAGCCAGTTCAGCTGGCATTCAGATAGACAATGTCTCTTATTTGGGCTTTGGAGGTAATAGCTAGCCAGATTAAACTGAAATCTGCTAGCCTGATGCTGATTGAAATGTCCATGGAATCTCTTATCCAGAGCTGAACGTCAGCAGCAGCCACGGATGATGAGGGAGGCTACAACAATCCTTGTACATTCACACTCTTCTCCTTGAACACTGCTGCCCTGCATAGCGATCCAGAGCCTGGCTCAATTACTCAGAAATATGCATACTACTGTATGTATTGTAGAACATAGACATGACCACTCTCGTTTTAAAATGTAAGACCCTCGTATGCACCCCAGATCAAGGCAGACTGTAAAATAATAAGACAGGAGCTGGTAAGTTTAAAAACATGGCCTGGTGACTTGGGAACATGGCGGTTTGGGAAGCAATGTGAAGAGTTGGGCCCTGCAGGAAGGAAGAGCATGATGGGAGCTAGGTTCGGCAGGAAGAAAGAGTATGATGGGAGTTGGGTGCTATAGAATGCAGGGGGAGATGACGATTCTCTGGTCAGTATGACAGGCTTACCTTTCCTCCAGGCTCTCCGGGGACACCCCTGATGCCATCTGAACCCCCTCGGCCCTGATAAAACACAGAGATGCCCTGGCATGGGTACTGTAGATGGTCACACAGACACCTGAGAGGGCAGCTTTTAAACCACTTTGACACTGTAGAAAAAATGTGCTTTTCCTTATCCCTCTCCGAATGAAAAGCATGGCAGGTGTAGTGGCCCTAGGAGACCGAGCCCCTTTCGAGCCGCTGGCATACAGAAAGAGTTATCAAGAGTCATCTGCTCTTTGTAGAAGGTCCTGGTGATAGCAGCAGCAGTTCAGCCAACAGTCTCTACAAGTCGTTTTGGATGAATGATATTTGATAAACAGGGTTTAGTTAATGTTCAAAGCCATTTTAAGTGGACCAAGTATAAATTTTCATAAATCGACTGTACTCAGTCCAATTTGTATATTTACACTTAGAAAACAAAGGGTTTTCAGCAAATCAGGAGCACAATTTTGGACCATAAAAAAAGCTATAGGAATCTATGTTTTTAATCACTGCAAAGGTACAGATACACTGACAAAAGAATGAAAAACAAAAGAAAAATTGTTTTTCACGAATCTTCAATGCTGGGATTAAATACTCTGGGTATGTGTCTAGTCTAGAATGTGAAACTCTACTTTGGTGACAGCGACAGATAATTAAACCACCCACATTCGCAGACACTATTAACACCAGTCTGAAACATCTGTCACTGAAGGAAATCCACAACGAAATACATATAGAGTTTAAAGAAAGGTGATATTTCATCTTTCCTTTAAGAAAAAAAAACAAGAAATCGCATTTAAATAACAAATGATTATGTTCCCATCTTGCAGAAATCAAAGCTCTCAAGCTCTTGTGGATGATCTATTAGCATTTACTAAACATTGCACAGCGATTACAAAAATACAAGGCATGAGAAGTTTAGAACATATCAGTAACTGTTCTAATTTGTTTGCCTCTGTTCACATAAAGGACTTCAGACATTTACCCACAATTAATTAATGAGGTTCTCTCTACTCTGCAGCTGGGCTATGAATTATACATCAGATCTGACGGAGGTGTGAGATACTGTTTTATTTAATCATCCTCTTTGCGGAACAAATTGACCTCCAGCTTTTCTGAACGTGATGTTATACAGTATATGGAAACCTACAATGAACACTACCAGATAACAGTTGCATTAATGCTCATTCTTTGTTTTGTTTTTTACAACTTACATACAGTACGGCGATCTTGAACAGGCCAGAGAAAGGAGTGGCAGTGCATTATCTCAAAGCGACAGTGCATCATCACAAACACAAGCCTGTGTCTTTGTCACTGGGCGCCTGCCACTGAGCTGTCCTGCTGGGAGCCCAGCAAGCAATAGAAACGCAGACATTCCAGTGCTCTTGCAGGTTACACAGGCTTTCCAAGACCCCGAGGAAAGTCTCTCACCAAACTCTAGACTACTGCTCAGTTGGGGTCTAGGACTTTCTTTTTTGCATTGCACTTAAACCTGAGCCTTGGGCGGCACAGTGGCGCAGTGGTTAGCACTGCCACTGCACAGCGGTGTGGCCCGGCCCTGGGTTCAATTCACCTGGGCTGCTGTCTGTGTGGAGTTTGTATGCTCCCACAGTCCAAAAACATACTAGTAGGTTAGTTGGCTTCTGGGAGATGTGAGAGAGCGCGTGTCTGTGTCTGTGTGTGCCCCATGATGGACTGGCATCCTGTCTAGGGTGTGCCTTGCCTTGTGCCTGTTACTTGCCACAACCATCTCTGGCTCCCCTGTGGGAGTAGCAGGTAGAAAATGGCTAGATTGATTAAACCTGGGCCTGCTGCTGCTGTGCCACTCAGCAAAACAAGCCCAACAACGGCCAAGTCACAAGCACAACTGGATCACAACTGGGGCTGCTGAGAGTAAGGTGGGCTGCCGACACACCACCCCTCCAATCGGAGCTCTTGTATGGCACCCCTTAAAAGGGGGGCTGGCCTTTTCTGCACGTCCTGGGTACAGGGGTTGTCAATGTGGGATGTCAAGGCACAACTGGTGACTCCAGATCGGGTGGGTGTGTAATAACAAACCTTTAAAAAAAGCTCAATGTCCTCACATTGCCTCCAGGCTAGTGAGAGCTCAGGATTCCTCTCACAGCTGAACCTCTGTACTGTTAGTCTGCCCACAGCAGCGCCAGGAGAGGCTGTTGCAATTTACTGATCACTACAGTGGGCAGTTTACTGGAACCTGCTGTGTACACATCCACAGGCTGGATCCCGACCTTTTAGTTCAGAGCCTCAGAAAGACCCAGCTTCCTGGGCAAAGGATGAAGTCTAACACCTGGTCTGGGAACCTTTTCTTTGACTCTTGGGAAGGTCCAGCCTTTTGACTTACCCTTTTCCCAGTTTTGCCATTTGGCCCTGGAGATCCTGGGGGTCCCCGGGGACCCTGCATTAGGGAAAAGGAAAGAAAAATCATTCAGCCGCCGTGCAATCAGTGTACAATGAGTCGAAGGCAGACGTCTTGCTGGAGAATGAGCTACACAAACCTGACAGATTTAAAAGGACACTAGCAAGCGTTTCTAATTACCGATAAATTTAAAACTCCTGTAAAGTCCTGTTATTTGTGTGTTTGCAGCATCATTCAACTGCTTGAACACCTGTACAGCACACATTCAATATACATGCACACACAAGAAGTTAGAGCCTTACATGTGGTCCTTGATCTCCTGCCTCACCTTTCAGGCCCGTTGGCCCAGGCAGACCCTGAAACAGAGACAAGACGTGTCAGAGAGAGCAGGCTTTCCCTCTGTCCAGATCCCTGTGCCCAGGAGGCCTTTACTATATAATGTCAGGGCTACATTGTCTCTGATCCTCCCCTGGCACCCCTTTAAAGGATCATATCACCTTTTACTGAATGCTTCAGGACCTTTTCTTAAATACTTTTGGAGGTCAATGACTCTGTATTGTAATCTTATACTATGTTTTATGACCTTGATGTCTTACACTCTAATTTTCACTGTATTGTTACATTAGAATTGAGCTGGAAATGCAATGATATCAGATTCATTTCCATTACACTAAAAAGCTTTATTTACAGTTGGTTATCAGTTTGTTACCTTATTTATACTGCCATTGTAGTAATGAAATTTAAGTCTCCCCGGAGAACGCCACCAGACAAAACAAAAAATATCTGGTCTGGTTTATACAGTAGGGCTGGACCAGTGGTGCACACCTCCAGACCTCGCAATGCCTGCAGTGTTTCATTCACCTCATTAGCTTAAATGATCTCATTTAACAATTTTCAAAAGTCTTCACCTGTTGGATTGTGTCTCTCGGGAGACAGGGAGCTGTCCTGCTGTGCTCTAAATGTTCTACCTAGAGGCGTCTGGTCAGCTGGAACAATTTTGGGATAAGGCACAGCAAATTTCTCATAGGGATGAAATTAGATACCTTGTTTATTTGAGTAAAAAAAAACAGGAAGTTTGCTTGACAACAAAAGGTAGTCAAGTCATCCAGGCTGGATTCTCAGCTCTGGGCTTGAGCGATCTCCCTGAAGTTCCCCCGTTAATTCAGTTAGTGGTGCAAGTAATTGGTGCAGGGGGCTGCCATGTCCACCTCCCACCTATACTGTACAACATTTGGGGTTCATTTGGGATGCACTGAAGATGCCTTGATTTTAATAATAAAGCAAGGCTGAAATGCTGGGATTTGTGCCTTGGGTAACTGAGCGTGCTCTGCCCAGGTGCTGGTCACAAGCCTTTTTTGGCAGAAATGGTAGCTGCCACAGAAAACACTCGCTCCAACAGGAACAGCTACAGAGAAGCAGTCACAAAGAAATACTGGACTGTAACGCTTCGCAGGAAAAAAAAAAGATGAAAGGAAAAGGCAGGTGATATTCCTTTAAAGATGATCTCATTTCCAGTCAAGCTGAAGGAAAGTGACTAAATATTGCATCAACCACCATCTGAGCTTCTCGGGCCATTTCTACGGGAAACTTATAATGCTTATAACTTGAGGATTCAAAAAGCAATAAAGGAAATGAATGAGCTCATTACTGCGAAGGTGGAGCCTGGGCCGGCAGGAGGGCAGACAATCTGTTCCCCAAGAAACGGCTCCTATAAAAACTGTGCTCTGGTCTCAGTTAACATTCGGCATGAATAATGGGGATGCCTCATGCAGGAGAGGAGCAATGGCTCAAACTGGGGGGGGGGCGGGCTTCTTGGCGTGGTGATACGGCGGAGCTGACATTTCGGTAATAGACCTGCACTCCCTGGACAGCTTTCAAGCATGAGTGACAAAAGGAGCAATGACAGACGGGCAGGAAGCGGATTCTGTCCGAAGTCTCGAAAACAAGCTGAAGGCCCTCTGCAGCCAGAGAGAAAGAGATTTATCTATGTTATTATCAAGCATCAGCTCCACGAACAACTCGATTACACCCAGTGAATTTATTTCATATATAAGTAATGCCACTGGCAGCGAGTCACAGCTGTAGAAAATATGTAAGATGAAGAGGCAGAGAACAGAGGGTTACAGGAACAATCCATCTTGTTCAGCCAGGTCAGACTCCAGACTCTAGCAAATATGGCTGTGCAACGGCATTTACAATAGGCAGCCAGCAAGTGGCGCTGTCTGCCATTACAAAAATGTAGGAAAAAAGTAACCCTGGTTGCTCATCTCTTTTATGATGCAACATTTAACAAAGTGGGTTGCTGACCTTCAACTTCATTTACCACCTGGACTCAGTGGTCCGATAATCTGAAGTGAAATGGAGAAAATGTATTTGAAAACAGAGAGGAAGAGGCTATAGGTAAAGAGAGGGGAAATTTGCTGGTTTAGAATTTACATGCCACATAGAAAGGTTGTAGTGCTGAAGGTCCTTTGCTGAACAAGAGAAAACAAGAGTGGTGCAAAAGATTTAATAAATAAAGTGAATTGTAGAAACAAGGTACTTTATAATGCTATTAAAACAACAAGATAGTTATAGAAAAGAAGTACAAGGAATTGAAAGAATTCGCAAGAAAGGAAATCAGAAATGTGAAGAGAGAGGGAGACAGCAAAAGATCAGGAAAGGACAAAGTTAAGATCAATAACTAAAAATAATAACTTACCAATGGACCTGGTCGACCCGTTAGCCCAATTGGACCTGGAGGCCCCTTCAGTGAAAGCTGTAAGAACAATAAGAGTGACTGACCGACTGCACTGGTGTTTTGCCGGACTGTCTGGAACTCTAAGACGTCAGGCTGGCTGCTCGTAAGAGGAGGCGGCGGCATGCTGGGCTGTGCCAGGACACACTTTCCAGCTCCCTCTCACCTTGGTCTGCTGGAGGATAGCCTGGGCCTGGGCCTCCTGCGCTGAAATCACAGGTCCCTTCTGCCCATCTCCACCAAACTGGAACTGCAAGGGAGAGGAGGAGAGCAGGAATAAAAGAGAACAGCAGAGGAGCCCAGATGAGGAACGGGGAAGAGAAAACAAGAAAGGAGAGAGCAAAAAAAGAGAAGAGTGGAAAAGAGGGAAGAGAGAAGTAAGAAGGAAGGGAAAGAGAAAAGAGGAGAGGGGAACATTAGTGAGGTGGGATGGGAGGGTTGCAGAGTGGAGAGGAGGAGAGCATAATGCAAGAGAAAGATGAGAGAGCGGAGGAAAACGAGAAGCCATTAAATGAGGAGTAGGGCCTCGCACACTCAGCCACTCAGCGGGCCTTGCAGACAGAGACTGCAACATCTAATGACACAAAGAAGAGCTGCACTAAGCCTGCCCTGAAACATCCCCTCAGATACACTTCAGTGCATTAGGAGGATCCCAGCTTGCTCTCCATGCGGATCAGAAAAGCTTGGAAGGCAGCCTCACCGCAGACACAAACAACACAAGTCCTTAACAGTCCTGCAAGATGACGCTGGTCTTCAGCACGGATTCAGCTCTGCCTCTATAATTCTCCAGAGGGCCTGAATGGAAAAGTTTGGTTTTTTTTGTTCAGATTTGCATTCTGGCATGCAAGGAATTAAAACAGGGATCAGTAGAACACTCAACTGATCAGATAATTAGTTCAACCCAGCTGGACACTGTCGGCTAATGCAGTTACAATTTTAAGTGCCCTGATGTCTGTTAGGAAAAAGGGAAAGTGCAGCAAACCGAGAGCAAAGGTCCAGAGCAATTTTGAGAAACAAAGTCTTCTGCAATCAAGAGTACAGTCAGTCCTAGAACTTTTCTTTTTATTTGCTGTGTAAATTTTCTTTTTATGTTGGTGAAGAAGGAGACAATTTTGACAACCTTCATTTTCCCAAAGTAGAAATTCTTTCATATTCCTTGTCAGTGGTTCCAGACTGTCAGATCAGATCTAGTTTTCTTGAAACAGTTCCTTTAGCTTAATCCAAGATACTTGGATTAAGCAGTGAAGTGCTGCTTCACTGAAATGCATAGTTCTAATGAAGGATGGGGGAAAGTGGCTTCAATTGCAGAGCAGTCCAATCTTTTCCAGGTTTTACAATGAGTTGCAGGGCAGTTGTATGTTTCAAATCAATGTCATACTTTCTAACTTATTTTAAACCTACAAAGATGTAGAGTTGAAATTATACTAATTAATCAATATTCAGATTTTTTTCTGCATCAGAAACTATCCTGCCCAAACAAAAACCTGAATTAGGTCAAAACTGCTGTACACCCTGCAAAAACCTGAAGGTATTTAATGACTTGTGGAATGATTCCAGTTTTTATGGAACTTTTACTTAGCACACAGCCCCATCTGGTGGATGTAAGTTGCAATTGCGTTCTTTGTCGTGTGCCCCCCCATCCCCCCCAACATACCCACATCCACATACTAATTTCAATAATCTGTTATGTTTTATGAAGCAGAGCATGAGAATGAACACTTCTTCCCATCGGTTCTATGGCCTGAAAACATCTTTAACGCTCTCATGCGGTGGTGACAAAATGCCAAACAGTAGATCTCAGTATTAATTCATAAAAGCACCAACTGGGACAAACAACCAACCCAAGCATGCTCTGTGCATCAGCAAATGGCAGTACAGTAAATTGCGGCCCTGCAATGTTGTGTTTCTATATCTTGGCCATTGAGAACCACAAGGATTCATCATTTTCAATTCAGCTGAGCTCCTAAATAGGTCACAGAAGGAACTATTCATTTAATTGGACCAGATCAGGTCTGAAGAATAAACAATGTGTAGAGACGTCTGCAGCCCCAGAGGAGCAACCATCAGGGCAGACAGGGTCTGTGCTGGGCTGGGCGCAGTGTTCCTCCCTCAGCATGGGCTGGTTCTGAACACCTAATAAACCTGTGTAACACAATTCTCAATCACAAACGCAGATCTAGACAGCTAATTACAAGGCAGGTCCCGCAGACACACAATTACTCACAAGGGGCAGCAGTATAGAACCAGAAAACACAGAGTGAGACAAGCACACTTTCAACAAAAACATAAACATCACACTGCATGAGTGAGAACCAGCATCATTTACTTATTACTGTCGTATGCATCACCAGTCACAATTATCCTTTGGGGGAAAATAATCTATTAGGCGGGTAATTTCATTCGTAAACTGATATCAGTACACTAGGATTTCATTGTTTTTATGATGTGGTGACTGCCCGTCTGTCTGCCTGTCTGTATCTTTTTGAGCAAGTACTCTGTGGCTCAAAAGAGTTTCAACAGTTTGTGTAGGTATTAACCCCGATCAACTCTGCGCTAGACAGGACAATCAGAAGTGCAGACTCACCAGCAAATCCATTTGTTTCCATCAGCTACACAGATAATAAGAAAGCTCCTGGAGGCTGTCAGTGTTGGGTGATGTCGCAGTTCATTCAGGCTATCTTAGAAGACCCCATAAATTCAACACATACAGGCTGAGATAGGGAACATCTCAGATGTCTCTAACATTTCAAAATATTGTCACTGGGGAAAATGAATCTGTACATACTAGAGCCCAAAATGCCATTTTGATAAATTCATTGTGCACAGCCTGGTAAAAACTTTAGGGTCGACTGATAAAGTGTTTTTTTTTCCAGCTGGTTCATCTTTGGCTGAATAAATTGCTTCGACCTGGGAGGCAGGGGGCAGGCAGCTCGGGATGGCACCCTGGACCGAACGCCAGCCCAGCGTGGGACGGTGCGGTCATGGGAAATGGAAGGAAGTGGAATCAGCTTTGAAACAACTTTATATACAGCGGCCGGCGTTATGGTTTACATAAACACCACACTGGATAAAGACACAAGGTGTGCTGGCACGCTTTGAAAAACATCTCACGCGCACAAAACAAAGAAATACGATAAAGGCTTTTTAACAAGTGCACTTCAGGGCTTCGCTGTCTGCTTGCTTACAGAAAGCCTGAGTGCAGAATTAAGAGATAACTATTGATCTCAAATTCGTGGAACTGCAAGAGTTACTGCAATGCCTAATGTAACAAACAGGATTTTAACATTCTTGGAATGTGTACCACAGTGAGGAAGATAAGAAAGCCGAGCAAAGAGATTTTACCCTCGTCCTGACTGCTGACATCACATGTTCCTGCCTTAAGGAACCTTGCAACACTTGTGCATGCCCTATGCTTGGACACTATCTTCCTCTGCTTTGCCACACTATCCCAGTCTGTAACATACCCGTGAGGTCTATAAGAGTAATGCCTGAGAGGGTGCAGTAGACCAAAACTGAATGAGCCAGACTGACCCAACAAATGCAGTCGTTGTCATATCAGTCTGTGCGGCATGGCTACGGTCATTCCAGATACTGTTTCTGGGAGAAAGGAGACCTACTGGTATCAAGGCTTTAGAATAAGGACCACATCAGCTACAGGGGTTATGATGGTGCTGTATTGATCAAGCATGATTGCACTTTGAACAAACATCCTGCTGTTACCAACTTAGTCTGGTACTATTGCCATGAACTTTAAGGCATACAGAATAGAATCAAGAAACTGCAAATCACTAGTTGGTAAATAATAATTTTTTTTTTTGCATTTTACATTTACGTACTTTATTCAGATATTTTACCTACCGGTAACATCAGCAAGGTCCCTGGAGGACCAGGAATCCCATCTGCCCCAGGAAGGCCTGGCCGACCAGCAGGGCCCTGTGATGAGGAAGTGACAGAGACAGGAGAGAAGGTGTGGATAAAGGAGGGAAACCGGATGCAGATATTTAGCATTTCATTGATTTAGCAGATCAGACAAACCCTCATTAGAAAGGAACCACTTTAATCTCAATTTTTACTGATTTAAGAGTCTGCAAAACTCTTAAATCAGACAAGCAGATTGCTTTGTCTTAAGTGACACCACCTTACAAAGGCTTTCTCACTGTTCAGTGCAAGGAGGTTGACACACCTGGACTTCAGAACAGCTGTTCCCTGGCTTACAAAATAACGAACAAAGAGCCCACAGTAGTGCACAGTACACACCTTATACCCACATGTGAAATACTCATTTTCACCAAGTCCATTTTAATCTTGCAGGAAAATGTATTAAAATAAGCAGACGGAAAGCTCATGCATTCAGAAAAGCAGAGATTCAACTGTGACTTTTTCCACTCATTTGGATAAAAACCTTTTAAATTTTGCTAATTGCACAGCGTCTCTCCAACCCAAAGACGTATTGCACAAGGGGGAAAGCGCCCTGTGCAAACTTTTTCCCAGATTCCCGAGTATGTACAGTAAAATAAAAAACGATGCATGTATACATATGACACCTCTAGAGACAGGCAGTGAGACAGCGTAGACAGCTGCCCCTCCAGGAGCAAAAAGAACCAGAGAGAAGAAAAAAGAAGAAACAGAAAAGAAGGAATGAAAAAAAAGGTAAGATCTACCTCCAGATGGTATGTCAGTCACCTCTACTTTTCAAATGAATTTCTAGCCCCCAGGCGAGAGCAGACAGAGAGAGAGAGTGTATGTGTGCTGGTGAGAGTGTTACTAAAAGCAAATGAGATCGACTTGACAAGCTCCTGTATCTCGGAATATAAATCACAGCAGCCAGGCATTCCATCAGATAACATTTAGCACTCTGTCTTGTCTGAGCACCAGACGCTGGAATGGAATAGGGATTGGAGGGGGGCGGGGAGAGGGAAGGGAGGGGTATACAGCATGTAAACCCCCCCCTCACCAGGAGAATGACAAGCTCAGTCATGGCTAAGGCAGCCAGGCTCAGCTGCACTGCCCAAGGTCATGCTTCTGCAGCCTCCTGGATTTTTCATTTGACCAGCCTGTGAGTGCAAGTTCCAGTCCAGCAGGAGGCACTACACTACAGACAGGTGTGTGGGTTCAGGCCCAAACCACTCCAACATCTTCTGCTTCAGGCAGAGGATCAAAAAGAAACAATTATCTTGTCTGATGATGTCATTCAAGAAAGATGTTTTAGTGGCGTCTCCCAGTCCTTTCTTGACATCATATTAAAATAAAACACTCAACAACCGGGCCCCTTCACTGACAACAAAGCAATTTTGTTTTAAACTGAGCTTTTTCCTCGTGAGACCACTTTTCCACAGAGGTCACTGACAAGCAGCAGACTGAAAAACATTCTACTCAGTAGAAATAATAATTAAAAGTGCAAGGAAATGCATCAATCTGTCCATATACTGTATCATTTGGTCATTATCAAATCTGTGCAGCTTTTTTTCCCCCCGTATGAAAGTTTTCATCCAGATCTGAGAGTGAGAACATATCTAATGATTGAGTTGCTGTCCATATAGACCTGTGTAATTTTACAGTTTAACTGTCTCCGTGCTGTAATGCAAAGCTCCCTGAGTATCTTTTTCTTAACTTTGGTGAGTCAAAACCAAAAACCATCTGCTTTTTTCTGAGAAAACATTAGATCTAATGATATAATATATTAATTGAAAAAATATTAATAATAATCTCTGGCAGAACAAGTACTACTCCTTCTCAGTCTGTCAGTGACCTGCAAGTCTTACAAACAGGATCATGCTGTCCTGGCAGTGGACCTCAACAGCAGCTGTCGAAGTGCAAGAACCACAACTGTGCGTTTAAAGCTTGTGCTACAGCTACAAGCTCCTTACATATGAAAGGAAGTGGACAACAAGTCAGGGTTGTCAGGGGACAAAGAATGACTGGTCAGGCCAAGGATTCATAAAGTAATAAGGTCCAGACGCACAATAGCTCGTACTGAAAAGGAAATGATTCCCCCACCAGAGCTCAATAAGTAAAGGATGCGAACATCAGGCCACCACATGGAGATCGTGGGGTCTCGTGAGCCCCTGTCTGTCAGCGGAGAGCCC